TGAAACAAACCAATTAAATTCACACACAGATTGTAAATTCATTATTCTTGCATACACTGTCACACGCACTGTCATTTAATTCAGTTGCACAAGAAAACACTATTGAATACCAAGGTAACCTGCCTATTTCTTAATATGCTAATAAAAAGATCTTAAAACATTGTTTGATGTTTGTCACCATTATTATGAATTTCTGAACCTGGCTTTTTGATGTTTGTCAACATTATTATGAATTTCCGAACCTGGCTTCAAATTCAAAATTGGTATAAAGAGTTGTAAAACTAAATAAAACATGAAATTTCCCTCCTTGGCAGCAAGTAAATGAAATCAAATGATCCCAGGGCTATTCCACTTCCTCTATGCGCCAACAAAGCCATAAAATTATCTAAGGTTCCAAGTCTTATTTTCATAAATGATGATAAGAAAACTCACATAACTGAGCTTCATACAAAGCTTGCTCAGGAAGAAAAATGAGTCTACAGACTAACATCTAGGAAACAATACTAAGTATGCCTTTCAATAACTACCCCTTTGTCAGAATAGCACCTTCCTAACTCTTAATTTATAGATCACATATTTAATCATCATGTTTACATTAGTAATTTCCTGCATGACCCACACTGAATGCTATACAGACAACATCCACACTGTTATTTTATATATAGTGTATATATATATATACACACTTTATATATAGCATATACTGTATATCATGTGCAGTTGTTAACTATCAGATATCTTACTAAATGAATGAAATACCAGGAAGTTGCGTTAGGTTACCTGTTGTAAATTTCAGTTGTATTGTTTCCCTGTCTCCATTCAGCAGATGTTTGTTCTAAAGTCTTGAATACTATTAGTAGATACCTACTGCTGGAAGGCGTATGACACCGCAGCAGCTAAACACACCGATTCTGGCCCAAATCATACCAACTCCATTTGTATCTACAGAACCTGTTGACTGTTAGATCTAATCAAATTAGAATGTGATGAACTGAATCATAAATTTTCACATATGAATATATTCTTAATTGTGAATATAATTAATTGCTATTGTGAATTCAAGTACATTCTTCCCTCCTCTAGCACTACTTTCATGGTAGTGTCCAAAAAAAATCCCAAAACACCAACCACCCCAAAAAACACCCCACCATCTTACATGACCAGGTTTCAAATTATATCATTAAAAAAGGTAAGGGGTAAAGAACCAATAGGATGCTTGGTAGCTACCTAAAAACAGTCCTGAATCCCTATTTCTATATAAAACAGTAAACTCCACTACCATTAATTGTTTAAATCAAACATAAATCTTTTATGAATACTTTGAAGACAGCAAGGAGGATGTTTTAGTAAATCCACCAACAGCAGTCAGTTACCTATCTTCATCTTCTGTTATCTAATACCTATGTGGCTCTGGATTCCCAGCATGTGCATGTATCCTGAACCCAGATCTCAAACCTAACACCAGCCTGCAATGTCAGCTTGCAAATTACTGTTTCTAAGTCCTATTTCTCATCCTATATTTGGTGGAATTTTAAAGCATTTTTACTAGCTTGTGTTACAGAGAAAACTAATAGCTATGCAACTGTTAATTTCTTTTTCTTACCTACTTTTAACCTGCATCCACCTCTACAAGTAGACAGAAGAGAATATAATTTACTTAGAATTACAGAAATCATAATATCTCAAGTAACAAGTGTAACTGAGCATATTTGTAAGGAACAAAGGAATGTCCCTTATAGATAGAAGCCATGAGATTACATACTACTTTTTGTGCTCAGTGCATAATATTAATTTTTACCCCTCTTTTTAGTTTAACAGTTTCCATGATAACTTTGCCTATACCTTGAAATATAAATGCAGGCTACAAAGTTTTCACAAAGCATGAAACAAATCAGGTACAGCAGAATTAACAACTAAATAATGTTTGCTTTATTTCCTATGCACTTATATTTAAAAGGGCAAATAAGGCCTCAGGGAGATCATCTTAGCAGAAAATTATTCAAATCTAAAAAGAATAACACACTACTTAATATTATATCAGGGTCTTGGCGTTATCATTTTAAACAAGTGAAGGATAACAATAGAAACATTCACGCCTGAAAGATCAAAGCATGTTCTCTTTCAAAGTTCTTTGTAAGTGAAGGAAGAAAGTCTTGACAGGATCTTACTATTCTTGTAAAGCAAATAACCTGCCCTGTTCTATAAAATATTTACAAGAATGTTTTTATTTGTTATTGCTACTGTTGTCACGGTTTAACCCCAGCTGGCAACTAAGTACCACACAGTTACTTGCTCATGTCACACATATACCCCCAATCCACACACACACCCCCTGCCACAGTGTGAGAGGAGAATCAGAAAAAAGGCAAAATCTGTGGGTTAAGAACAGTTTCGTAATTGAAATAAAATATTATAATAACAATATTATAATAATGAGTGTGTCAGGGAGATAATAAAAAGACAGGAATAAAACCCAAGAGAGACAAGTGATACACAATACAATTGCACACCACCAATGCCCAGCCCATCCCCAGCAGCCATCAGTGGTTTCTGGACAACTCCTCCAGTTTCTACACAGAACACGACATGCTGTGGTACAGAATACCCCTTTGGCTGGTTCAGGTCAGGTGTCCTGTGCCTATGCTCACTCTCAGCTTCTTGTGCCCCTCTTCACTAGCAAAGCATGGGAAACAAACACTTAGGGTAAGCACTATCTAGCAACACCCAAACCACATGGTTTTATCAATATTATTCTCAGACTAAATCAGGAAAAAAAAAACCAAACCAAAAATCCAAAAACATAGCACTGTACTAGCTACAAGGAAGAAAATTAATCCTACGGCAGCTGAAACCAGGACAGTTGTTTTGCTATTATTTGTTACTATATTGCACAAAATAAGTAATTAAGTCAGCTAATAGAAGCTGTAATTAAACTTATGTAAAAGTTTACTTTCATCTGGTCTGAGTCTACATACAAAATGACTACTAATAAAATGATTAAACAGAGTAAAGAATATTTATTCTGTCTGCCCAAAAAAATAAAAAAATAAAAAAATACTCCATCACTATCAGTATTGAGTCCTGAATAAAGGCCAGAACAAAGTTTTTGAAGGAACGCAGGAAAAGAAAACCTGAGAGGTGACAGCTTCCTTCAGAAAGTCAGGGAACAGAATACAGTGAAAGACTGGACCATGACACAGTGAGGTATGCACATAGTAGTCTAACATATTACACAAAAAGATGCAAACCAGGTAACAAGTCAGCCATATTTATACACTGTATCAACTCATAAGGCATGTTAATAGTAAGGTTCACCCACATGCAAAGTTTTTGTAGAAGTACTTTATTCTGCTCATAAGTCAGGTTAGCATCAGCCATTTATAGACGTCAAAATAGCATCTCCTCACCATATAGCCTTCCATTTTTTCAGGCTTCATCAGATCCTTGAAAAAGTTTTATCCAAAAGATGTGGAACGAGAGCATTTATCTTAATAGAATTTATTTCTGATTTAGAAATCAGAATATTTTGAATAGAATTTATTCTGGAAATTATGATTCATGGACCTTGTGTCAATTAGCCTATTTTTTCATTGATCATTTTCATGCATTAGCTTTATCTCTTTTTCTTTTGATCACATTCTTGTAGCTCTACCTGTAAGATTCCCAGCTATCCACATTCTCTTCATGCATTCAGAAACTTGCTCTTCTGCTGTGACAGTACCTTAGAGGGAGAGTTCAAGGAAGCATACACATGCATGCATGCATTGGACAAGCAATATTCTCAAAACAGTCACTGCAGGTCTTGAGATAATATGAAGCCTTAACACCAAGAATTAGCCTCATATGACATTTCCTCCCCTCTCTCTTTTTACATAAAAAAATCTGGTTTCAGTTCCTTTGGTTAAAGAATTGTCATCACTGCCTATAGTATATTTTTTATTCTACTGTTACACTTCTAGACAATTGTATCTAGAGACAGAAAATTATCACCAATTACTAATATTATGGGAGTATCACAGAATCATAGAATGGTTTAGGTTGAAAAGGGACCTCTGAAGGTCATCTAGTCCAACCCTCCTGCAATGCGCAGGGGCTTCTTCAACTAGATAAAGTTGTTCAGAGCCCCATCCAATCTGACCTTTGATGTTCCCAGGGATTGGGCATCTACCACCTCTCTGGGCAACCTGTTCCAGCATATCACCACTCTCACTGTAAAAACAGCCTTCCTTATACCCAGTCTGTATCAACCCCTTTTTAGTTTAAATCCATGACCCTTTATCCTATCAGTATAGGCCCTACTAAAAGGCTGTCCCCATTTTTCTTATAAGCCCCCTTTAAGTATTAAAAGGCTGCAATAACATCTCCTGAGCCTTCTCTTCTGCAGGCTGAACAAGCCCAACTCTCTCATCCTGCCCTCATAGGATATAAAATATTAAACTACAAGTTCCTGATCAGACACTAATAAATGGCTTTTGGCTGGGGACAGTGAGGTCCATCTCTCTCAAAATATTTAAATTGATCAGTACAATCCAATTAGTATTTCCCCTTCATGATAAGCATGGAAAGCTAGAAAACTATGTTTTTTGTGGTATTCCATATAATGTCATTCATTTTATTTAGAATCAAAGCCTGTCTTACTTCATTTTGCAATATAGAAGGGATGAGAAGAAAAGTCACCACAGTCCTTTATACATACAATTTAAGCAAAAGGGAGTAACTGCGTAGAATTTGACAGTGCATTTGGCTCTTTCTTTTCAGCGGATAAAAGCAGCATTAGCAATGGTGCCTGAGACTCCTGAGTAACTCCTCTTTGCCTGGGTTATGGAATGCCACAGATGGCACAGTTGGTTTTCTTGGTTATCACTAGCACATTACAAAATCAGAGTTTGCAATTAGCAGTTGACAAAATACATCTGAATGTGCCACACAGGTATTATAATTAGTAGAATCATAAAATTCTTTCTCCCTTTTCTCACCCAAAAATCGAACCAGCAACATACCTCTTTTTTCTCTGTGAACTTCTTCCAAAAGTTTTTCTTGCTTTTGTATCTGTTTAAAAAGAGACTGATGTTCAGCCTCCTTCACCTGTGTAAAGTGCTTGAGCTGTTCTCGGCTCTGTCGTAAGTAGCATCGCAGCTTTTTTTCCTTACTTTCTCTCTCCTTTACCTCCTCGCACAGCCACTGAAGCTTAGTCTACATTAAAAAAGAATTTTAAAAATAGGATAATAAAAAGTAAAGAATTCTAATAAAAATAAGAGAAATGTTAACTGGTCAAACTACCTTTGGAGTCAGAGATTACTCGTTTGTACCCATTACTAAACAGTAACAATAAAAGGTTCATTCAGATAGATTAAGAGGACGTATATTGACCTTCAAAGAGTCTCAAAAGAGATATATTTTGGCTGATAATTGTATGTGAAGAAGCAATACATAGATTTTGGTGTTGTGTGGTTTTTTTTCATTTGGCTGGTTGGGTTTGGGCTTTGTTTTTTAGCGGTTTGGGGGCTTGGGGGGGGAGGACTTTGAGTTTTTTTTTTGTTTTTTCTTTGTTGGTTTTTTTTTTTTTGTTTGGTTTGGGTTTTTTAATTTTTATCAGGAGCATGAATTTGCTAGTGTATGCCTAGAAATTAGCATTGAATTAGTGTATGCCTAAACATCAAGAGATAGTCCTTCCTTTCCAAATATCTTTCTCTTTCTATTGTATGTTGACAGAATTTAAAGCATTTATTGATTTTTTTTTTTTTTTAAAAAGGTATGCTAATTCTTTTTGGTCAGTAAAAGTTAGTATCTAAGGTTCATGCAAAGGAAAACGAAAAGAGAGCTCAGATAAGATATGTCATGGTCAACATGGTAAATCTCAGTAAAATTTCAGATTGACTATTACCTTTGTTTCTGCTAACCAGCGATGAGGATCATTCAGAACTGTTGGTGTAAGCGATACTGCCTATGGAATCGTAGGGGAGAAAGAAACAGGAATAAAAATGGGAATTGGACACAGAAAAGAGAAAAAGTCTTTCCCACTATTTGAAATGCATCAAAAAATATTCTTTGCTAAAAATCCAGCTTGGAAATTATATCTGTAAATGCATTAATATAACTATTTAGCCATAAATTAGTCACATTTAAAAGCAAATTATGGAAACTCGCTGATACAAATTTTCTTTAATGGTGCAGCTTCACTAAATTGCAACAATAGTAAGTTGTATTCTGAATCTGCATAGATTTCTTCTAAGAATCACTGATATGACAATGCATTTCAAACACCCCCAGCACGTACCTCTGAATCAAGGTATATATTCTCAGTTTGAAACTTTATGTCCTTTTTCGAGAATATAATAATATTTCCAAGTAATATAATCAGACTCTACTTAAAAATTACTATTTCTTAAGGCCAACTGCAAAGTCATTCAACTGTTTTTTCCTGCATTCTGCAGAACAATGGCTGCACATAAACCAGAAGTAGCAGAAGCAATTGTTGTCAGTCATCTACTGTTACCAGTATATCTATAGAAATGCTATGTGCCACATAAATGTCTTATCAAAAGTAAAAAATGAAAATCCCCCAAATCTTTAATTATGCTTCATGATGATGTTCTTAGTGCTTTCATGAAAAAGACAAATCACTTGTTTTCAATATTTGATGGGCATGAAAAGAAAATTGTTATCTTCCCTATGTGGATAAAAAGAAAATAAATTTGTGTTGGAATGCTTCATTAATACTTCATACAAGGAGAAAATGTGATAGGTCTTTCTGCATTCTGCATTCACCAGTGAAGTGACAGGTGACAACAATGCACACAAACTCAGCTACAAACATTCATTAAGGAAATAACAAAACCTGCAGAATACTTAGAATTACTTTTAATTTCTCCATGGAGTCCCGAGAAAAAATTTCACAAGCAACATCAATTTCACTTCCTATCATGGTGAGAATAGATTCCTGTTCCATTTCTAAGTGACGCAGCTGATCCTTAAACTGCAGTCTAGCCGCATCCATCCTCCTCAAATGATCTTCTTCATTGCTGACCTGTTTATTCTGGAATGAAAGAGGAAAACAAAATAAAGATAAATTATTCCATTTATATTATAACACATCATTAGCAAAATGTGATAATAACACTAAACTCACTCATTCACCAAGTTCAGTTCCTTACCATGGAAAATAATACCTTCTAATAGTACTCATAAGTTCCTCTCTTGATCCTCCTTATTCTCCCTCAAATCAGTTATGAAGAAGCTGCTACCAAATGCAAACCAAACAATCACAGAGCCTATTTTCAGAGCCAAAACCAGGCATTCTATTATAAATCTACTTTTCACACTAGGATAGGCAGCCTAAGACAAATACTCCCCTTATTATCTTTTGCCCTAAATCAGTTACAGGCATTTAATCTCTGTCATCAAAGAGATGTCTGAAGGACACCTGCATAAGAATATCACATCAGACAGTGACTGGCACTGTGGAAAGTATTTTATGTTATCATCCAGTGTCAGAAAGATTATTAAATATGTTGCACCTCTTTTAAAAATTCATATTCTCCTCCTTTATATCTACAATTGAAGCACCATCTGAGTAAAACTGAACCCAGGAGCAGTTCTGTTAAACTGTATATCGAATTATGCATTGTCATTAGTATGACAAAACTCTTGTGAGAAATGAAGTTGCTTCAGACCTGTCTGCTGCTGAGATCAGGAGGATGTAATGCAGCGTAAGCTAAACACTTTAGCAGGTACATTTCAGTATGTTCAAGTGTGCTGAGAATAGTGAGAAAAGCAAGAATAGTAATTTCAAAAAATTTATTAATTATAGACCTCTGCAACAACAAGGTGCAACAGTTTAAGTTTTATTTATTGGAAATCTTCATACACTGCTCTCATTAGACACAACTGTGGAGCTAGGTAATTTCTAACATACAAATTCTGGGAAGGGGAAATATATGGAGTCATAGAATCATTCAGGTTAAAAAAGACCTTTACGATCATCGAGTCCAACCATTAACCTAACACGGCCAAGTCCACCATTAAACTATGTCCCTAAGTGCCACACTTACACATCCTTTAAATACCTCCAGGGATGGTGACTCAACCATTGCCCTGGGCAGCCTACTCCAATGCTCTCCTACCGGCACCAGCATCAAACTAGTAGAAGTGCAATGGATGACAAACTATAGTTGCCTATATTAAAAATACAGCAGGTAACAGCATTTCTCTTTCTATGCCAAAACAGTATTAGCAAATCTTTGGAGGGATACAATTCATGACTCCTTCAAAGCACTTTTCCCTTCTTGACTTATACAGAAATTGTACACTACATTATAATTGTATATTCTTTACTATGCACATTTAATTTTTGTATTTTAAATTTACTCTTTCTATAATTCATCATTTATTTTAGATAATTATCACCAAAGAGATGTATAATGGTTAAAACTAGGTAAGTTTACCTTTTTCTCCAGTTCTTGTTTTATAAATTCACATTTCCGCCTGAGTTTTATATTTTCTTCTTCATTTTGGGTTAATTCTTCTGTCAATTTATCACACTCAAATTTTATCTTCTCTAGTTGCTGACACTGAGCTTTCACTATGTTCTTCTCTTCTAAAAGCTCCATCTGATGGTAATGGGAAAACAGATTACAAAGTCACCATATGGGTTATTTTAAAACACTCTTCAGACAATAGTTTCAAATCCATGGAAAAAATATTATGGAAGTATATTTCTATTATTTTTTTACATTTAATTTATATTAAGTGCAATCACTCACCTGAACATAGAAAACATGTATCACAGAGTTGTAGAACCATACAGTGTTTTAAAAGCAGTAAACAGAAGTCTCAGATTCTGCATTTCAACTCTGCTATACTCATCGGCTTACATCACCTTAAGAAGCCCAATATTTATGCAATTTTTCCATTACTGAAATAATTTGGAATCATAAAGTCTAGGAATACCATTTCATTTCAGAACCTAATACTAAATTTATATCTGCAAAGACTTGGTATTTTTATTTCTAGAACTGGGTTTCATGCTATTCATGGAAACATTGCAGAGAGAAATGAAGAACAACATTTAAGGGCCTTGAAATTTCTAACTAGGTGAGTGAATCAGGTATATTGATTTCCAGTGGAAAAAATAACTGATTAAAATTGACAGATTTGAAGAATTCTCTAGAATATCTAAAAAATGAAAAAAAAAAAAAAACAAAGAAGTAAATTACAGACATATTACTCAAAAGTAGTTTCATATTTGATGAACTGTGGGATACAGGTACACACAAAAATTTGCCTGCAGAGTAAAATCCTTCCTGAGGAAAAGCAGAAATTCTGTTCTCCCAGTTACACTATAAATATAACTTTTATGGGGAAGAAGGGTAAGGAGAGAAGTTATATGAGTCAATTTAGACACCAGAGCCAACAGAGTACAAAAACTTCTCTGGACAATTCTGAGAAAGAACTTTAGTGTCCTAAGTCCACAAAGACTTATGAACACAAAGATAAGCCTGCAATGCCTAAAACATTTTCTATGAATATGCTCATAAGATCGACTTTTCAGTTCCTACTAAAGCTAATTGTATTATGACTATGCAGATGGGCACAATCCAAAAAAACAAATTCCTCACTTATATTACCTCTGAGACACAATAAAGTAAGATAATTTTTATTAGTTTCTGATGTGGACAAGCAAATCCATAATTTATTTGATCATAATTTAATTGATAATTTAATTAATCTTAATTAAACTTTATTGAACACATATTCCACATTTGATAATCTTCAGGAAAAAAATAACTATACCCACCTGGTATATGTATAGAAGAAAAGAATACGTATACATACACAATTTTATATAGACAGATACATACCTCTACATAATCTTACATTAAAGATTAATATTTGAAAGTGCTATCAGGCACAAGGACATATTGTATTTCATTATTCTAAGAGAACAAGGATATTTTTAAAGCAAATGAGGATACATAGTAAAATAAGGGACAAATTCAGAGCTTCTAAACACATAGCTGATTGAGGAACACTAAGCAAACCACTTAATTTCCTATGCCTAGTTTATCTAACATTTCAAATAATAAAAAAAGACATCATAAAGACATTGGTTGGGAATTCATTAGAATATTCTAGCTGAAACAGAATTAAAAGCTTAAGCACTAGAATCTCAGTACTGAGACAGTAAGATCCTTCTCAAGACTGACACATTATACAAAATTCTATGCTCTTTTCCAGTTCTACTGCAACATACGACATTCTTATGGTACCTCCCCTACTACCTCAAAAAATCCTTAACTACCAGGTAATTTTTCAATCCAGTGCAGCACTACAGAAAGCCACACAAAAAGCAGAAAGTATCATGCAGAGGAAGCAAGAGAGGGAACAATGAGGATCAAGTCACTTCTTTTTACAACCTAGGCAGCAGTTGGTCCTGTAAACACAGGTCTCTGCACCCTTGCTTTCCTGAAAGTAACTCAAAATTCCTCCTCTAGTTAAGTTTAAGGCTTTGGGTCTTGTGCTAAATTTTCCTTCACTCTCCAAGTCTCTCCCAGCTGACCTTTATTTTTAAGACTTTAACAATAAGAACCTCTGGACAGGGTTATGTATATTCTTTCCCAAAAGCAGTTACAAAGGTTGGACAAGGCTGAGACATAAATAAGGTCAAGATTACTACTTCAACAGTAAGAGAAAATTAGAATTGGTAAAAAGAAAAAAAAAAAAAAAAAAGAAAACCCACACCCAACAAAAAACTCTTCTGTTGGATTTCCCTAACCTCCACCCTAAAACCACAACATTTGAATACAACTAAACAAAAGGCATGCTAAGTTTTCTGTAATTTGGAAGAAAAACTATGTCCATAAAAGTGAAAATCCAATTGCGATGTAATGATGACTTCAGACAAAAAGTAACCAAATCATCTCCATGGTGACACGTTTTCATCAGGTCTTCCTAGAGATGGATATGATTATTTATTTTACTGCACATATAGTCTTTGAAGCAAGACAGTGTTGTCATTATCATTCTGTGTACTCCTAAAAAAAAGAAGCCCACCCTATTATCTAACAAAATCCATCTCCCTCAAGCCCTCTGTTCTATGTTTCAGAGACACAGTGCTGTAAAGAAACTGTGTGTAGATTAAAGATTCTGGGAATTCATGGCACTGGGAATAAAAGAAAGCAGTTAATTTTTAGATATTCTGTTCAGATACAACAATCAGTACCGATATCAAGGACCTTACCACAAGATTGGTGGTAAGAAAAGGTTTCAGTAGAAAAGGAACATACAGTATGATCAACTCATTATTTGCTTACTACCATCCAGAATACACTTTCTTTCTCTCCCCTTGACATTAAATGTACAGTTTTAATTTTTATGTCATTGTCAAAGAAAAAACACGTATTTTGAGAGATCACTGAAATAACAAGACACGCCACAAATTAAGTCCCCAGTGTTAAGCACTGTTGTCAAAATATTTCGATTTTAATGATCCTTCCGCTAACAACCTTCCAGATTTTTACTGCTATCTTCATTAGATACATTCTGTGTTAGCACGGTCTTAAGAATTATTGTCAGTTATTATCATAAACAATATACTAAATAATTAACTGTACTTTTCTAAGTAACATCAATTCATAACTGCAAAAGAGAGGAAAATATGCATTTTTAACTAGATACATGTTTGTGAGAAGGGAAATAAACATGTTTAAATTACTTACAATGAAGTAAATCATAAATCACTTAAGCTTTGATTAGGGGTTTTATAGCTTTTTTATGGTTAAATTGGTAGAATTTTGACATGAGAAAATTTTTAATTTGATGGGACCAAGGTGGAAAGTGTATTTATAGTGCTTCAAAAGCACACTCAAAATATGTCAGTAATTTACAACCTATCTGGAAAACTGCTGCCTCCATTAATATAAATATACAAATTAGTATTTTGTATGTCCTAGTAATAATCTTGCATATATATTTAACCATGTAATAAAAATTGCTTCAATAGAAGTGCAATTCATAGTGCATTCAACTGTTGACAGTTAATTGTGCATTTTAGACCACTTCAACTTAACTTCTCAATTGTATTCTATCAATCAGTTAAAGCCACTAAAACTATTTCTTTCCAATGCAATAGCCTTGAATAAGGAGCAGCTGATGTAAACTAAAGCCATTAACTTGTGTATTCCTAAATAAAATGCTATATTTCATCATTCACTATTTGAACATAGTCACTTTTCTGAGAAATAGTAGAGAAATTAGAAATTCTAAAAACTCCTTGAAACAGAACTTTCAAAATTAACCTTAACAAGTGTTACACATTATCACTTGGCATTTTGAAAGTGTTTCCAGACAAATTTCATGATGCAGAAAAAGTCATTTTAAAGATTTACAAAAATGCATCATTCCTGAAATATGCAAGTTCTTAAGTTCTTTAATAGAGCCATGACAATAATTGTAAAAGTAACAACTAAAGAAAGGATCAAATCATATTAGAACACTACAGCCTCATATATCTCCTCCTGTTCTGATCACAAATATACCTGTTTCACTACTTTTGAAATAAGAAAAGCTCTTCACCGAAAACTGTTACTGTTAATTTTTTTTACCCTGAACTTTAAACCTTTATAATGACCTGCAACAAAATTTGTGTTAAATGTTTTAAAGCACATGTTGTACTACCTTCATCATTCAATAGGGGGGAGAGGGGAAGCCTGACATTGGAACTTTTCAGAATAAAGTACCTTTAGCATTCTAATCTGAGCCTCTGCATCACCCTTTTCTTGTTTAAGGAGTTTGGTGAGCTCTTGAATGTTTCGTTCGTGTTTGATTTTAGCATTTTGTAATTCTGACTGAAGATCTGCCAACTCCTGTCGGTGAACTTCTCTTTCCATCTTCAGCTGCCTGTTAGCTGAAGTCACCTCTTCATGCTTAGATTCCTGCTGTTTCTGGAGATCTGAGAGGCTCTTATGTAATTCCTTTCTGACTTTCTCCTCTTCTGCTATTCTATTTGTTAGTTCCACACGTACAGAGCTTAGGTTTGTTACATCTGCTTGCACTTCTAAGAGTCTTTCTTGGTCTTTTTTACGGATCAAGTTACTAGTTGCAAGCTCTGTCTCCAAGTGTTCCTTTTCAGCTTGTATTTGATTTTGTAGTAAGACTTGCTGTTTCAACTCATTCTCCAGTTTATTTACAGTACCTTGAACCTCTTTCATCTCTTCTTCAAGAGATACCTGGTGAGACTTCATTTCATTCAGTTCTGCCTCTTTGCAGTGGAGGAGTTCTTCCTGGTGGGCTCTCTTTGTAAGCACATCATTCAGCTCTTTCCGAAGGTTTTCTATTTGGTGTATAGCAGAGAGAAGTTGACTTCTGAGGTCATCCTTTTCTTTGAGGGCCTAGGAAACAGGAAAAAAATCCAGTGCAACCTAAGCTAATGAAAGAAAATTACTGGATGTCCTTAGACATGCTAATGTCTAATGAACAATTAGCACTTTGTTCTGTAAAAACACAGAAATTTTGCTTGTTTTGAATTCAGTTCAAATGTATTCAGTGTTTCTTTAAACACAGAACATTTGTGACCTCAAACATATACTTGTCCTGACACGATTTAGCCTCCCAAGCGAGATAGTTTTGGACAATCCCCTGCTTTTCTTACCCTCTTTGCAAACTCAGATGTATTTCTTTGCTGGCCCCTCCAAGTAGCAAGATGGAGGAAATGAGGCAATACAGTAATGCAGCAGAATACAGGGATGACTAATGGTCACACAGACCTTACCTATAGGTCCATTTCATAGGCTGGCTTGTTCTGTTTATTTTTCTAAAATATTACATGCGAGGTTTTGTTTTTTTTTTTTTTTAATCTGCACACAGTAGATGAATGAACAACAGTTAAAAGCCTGGTTCTCTCATGCATCAAAGCCAAGAAATGAAGACTTCATCTTAAAAAATCAGCCACATTTAATAAAAAATTCCACTGTTTTCCTAAGGGGCCTAAGGGCTGCAGTTTTTTTCCCCAGCACTGATGTATTTCAAGTTTAAAAAACATCCTCAAAAATGTGCTAAATTATAGGGAAAAAATTGGACTGCAAATACATGTGTGTTACTAAATACTGTATTTCATTAAACTCTTGTTACACACACATCATTCTGAATTCTTACTTATCTCAAGTTATATTTAATTTTTTTTAACACTGTTTAAAATAAGAAGGAATTTACAGTACCGCTACCGTAAGTCACACAGAACTTCTGCTACAGGAAAAAATTATAAAATGCACAACACTGGATTTCCTGATATATATATCACAAGCTACTGGATTCTTTGAACCAGCTTAAATAAATTTTATACTGAATTTTATTCTTTCCACTAATTCCACAAACTGTACACATTTCTTATAGCAAGATTACTTGAAATAATTCAGAAAAAAGGAAATTAACAGTTTGCAGGTTAAAAAAAATAAACCCATTTATAATTACATCAAGAATAAGCAATGGAAAACAAAATACAAAAATAATAAATCAAGGTTATGAGGTAATGACCATTGTGCCTTTTTTCCTGAAGGAAAAAAAAACAAAAAACAAAAAACAAACCCTCAGTATTTGACTTTGATTGTAAACATGTTTTCTACATAACATACTTGGCAAAAAATATATTCCAAAGACACAAGATGGCAGAGATTCCACTGTCAACCAATATCAAGGATAACCACATAAGCAAGATTTCAGCCAAATTACACCTGTAACTCCAAAAGAATGAAATCTAAACAGCCTTTCTATAGCCCACCCATTGTCTGCAACAATTTTGAACATCTCAAAATTGCAAGTTATGACTGTAATCCAATTTTGAAAATTTACTATTAACCCTTTAAAGTCTTATAACAGAAAGCAAAGACAACAGACTGCCATTTCTCCTTTATAAATTTTTGTCTCAGATGTTAATTGTCTGTATATTTCAAAGCTGGTTAAATTACGTTCATCTAGTTCCCTGACGCTTATCATGAATGCTGCATTTAGACTGATTATATCCTCATATGGAAACTGTCTACAACTTTGTATTGAGAACATGAAAATACTGTTTATATTTTTTTCTCTTCCACAATGACACACATTTTATTTGATGTAACATATCCACCAAGAGAGAGATTTTCTTCAGGAGTGATGCTTACCTCAAACTTGTTGGCAGGATGCATGATTTTAAAAATAAGAACAAATACTGACAGCATTTCTTAAATGGAGCTTAAACCAAAGTGACTGCATTTGGCATTTTTATGCCTTTGTCACATAAAAAGAGGTAAAATCCATGTCAAAGAGTCTTATGTGACAAAGAAAACTTCAATGTGGACAGCTCTATTAATTGCCATTATAAAGACCTATCCATGGATTTACATGAAGAATGATTCCAGAACCTTTTGGTGCTCCTCCTGCTTATTATTCACAACTTTCTCTCCTCTACTTTTTGCTTCTTATTTCTCTGAGACACACATATGATTTCTAAATATTTCAGGTTTTCTTCCTTTCGTCAACACCTCCATTTGCCTAGGTAAGAGATGACTAACTTCTGAAATGTTTGCAAGCCTTACTTCCTCAGACAACTGCTAGGGCTAATCAATACATGATTACTATGGAATCAATTGTTGGAGCATGGATAGAGCAAATAATAAAGAATAAGGAATATGATAGGCAGTTCAGGAGAGAAATAGCAGGCCCAGGAATCACTGCTTAAATGTGGTAGAGTTTATTAATTTCAATTCAGTATCAAACCCATTATGGCTTCAAATATAGAAAATTAATAATACACTAGTAGCACACAGCATTACCGTCTGCTAGTAATCTGACATACATGGTGAAAGTAAACACCTACTTTCCAAGATGTGACCACTGTTCAGTACATAAGACAATGCATAACTTGAACATGAGTTATTAGTTAATGTGATTTTTTTTTTAAATAACATCACATTATTTCCTTTAAAATTAATTAAAAACAAGCTGTTACCTTAAGTGTTAAATGAAAAGATAAAGTAAAAGCAACATTTGTAGAGAAACTTTTTTTCTTTGCAAGAAGAAAGATTTGATTAAGTGGAGAGATTAGAATACATACTGGATAAAGAAGCAAATGTGGAACTCCCTAATTCCTAAAAAATACCGCCACCTATTAGCCGTTTTGTAGCTCACCAGGAAATTTGGTGCAGGACTTAAGGTGGAAAGGGGTTTAAATCACAGTTTGCATAACCTAATCCTCATCTTCATTTCTAAGAAAAACAAAAGAAAAACCACAGTACAACCCTCCCACCCTCCCCCCAGCCAATCTTACCTGACTATTCTTGTCCATGAGCTGGCTGATGGTTTCATTTTGTTTTTCCACCTCATGATTCAGTTTCTTATATTTCAACTTCCATTGGCGGATAGTTTCCTGTGCTCTCACTTTCAGATCTTCTCTTTTTTTCTCAGCCTCCAGCCTGAGTGCCTCTGCTTGCTTGAATTCAGTGAAGTACCGTTCTGCTTCTTTGGTACTCTCTTCCACCTGCTGAGCTAACTCAGCAGACTGGAGTTCAGTTTGTCTACGGCCATCCTCACAAGCCTTGTAGCAACTCTGTATCTCCTTTAGCTGGTCCAGAATATTTTCCTGCTGCTTCTCCCTGTTTTCCAGGTCAGATGTTAACTCCTGGAATTATCACAGCAGAATATGAAAATTCCAACTCTAAAGATATACAGTATGAAACCTCACCAAACAACATACAGCAACATTAAATAGCATTTCTATCTAAAATGGGAACAGCATAAAAGATCCCCTTGACTACTAGGGAAAACCCTGTAAGCCCACAGAATCTCTCCCTCTGCAATGGTCAAGAATTTCAACAAAGATATAACATACATGGTTATTCTATCCCATTTATATCTTCTGTATTTGTTCCTCATCTGCTTGTTCTTGTTAGTTTTTATATTTTAAGTTTGAGAAGGAATTATTGACCAGGATTCTCACATATTACACATTAGACAAATATGGACTAAAGAAAACAGTAAGATGTGAAGAGATGAAGTTAAACAGATGAGAAGAAACAGATAATTGGCAATGAAAGAACAGCATTCACCACAGATGGTAGATGTTTCTAGAACAAAGTGCAAAGACATTTGAAAATGTAGCAAGCATACTAGAGCCAAAATTAGTTGGCCTTTCAATATTGAATTAAATTGAAACCACACGTTCTAATAATAATAAGAACTGCTGCACATCCCAAATCTGATATTTCCCAGGACAGTCTCACAAGCAAGTCAGGAAAAATGTTTTCCATATACCTTCTTCAAGAGCATATTCTGAAACCAGTTATTGAGGCTTCACTCACAAAACTGCATTTTATTAAGATCATCACATAGAACTTCACATTAGTATTCTGTATTTTGGTCCTATATATACTGTTTTCATAACATTCAGTATTTTCAATAATCATGGAATATTTTGGGTTGGAAGGGACCTTCAAAGGTCATCTAGTCCAACCCCCACAGCAATAAGCATGTAGTCTTCAACTAGGCAGGTCTGCAAAGGTATTGATTTCTCTTATTTTGTAAGAATATATTTTTATATTCAGAAAAGTGTTAATTATTGATCTTCAGATATCTTGACTCATATAATGAATAAACTGGCTAACATTTCTCATTAGAGGATGAAAAGCAATAAAATTAATTTTAGTGAGGATAAGATCTTAATCAATCTTTGTAAGCCTGAAAGACTTATATTACTGAAGATTTCTAATCTTAAATAAGCAAATCAGTAACTTTCCATCAGAAAATTTGAAGTATTTTAGTAAACTGACTGTCTGCTGTTACACTCTAGTGGACAATATTGTAAGACTACTTTGACCTAATTTGATTTACTAATTACTTCTCATTCTAACAATTTCACAAGTATAAGAGTCTAAAACTGCTTATGGAAACACTAGAGTATTGCATCTCACAATGTGTGTACTTTATTTATTTCTTAGCCTAACAGTCAGGTCATAACAGTCAGCCTAACAGCCCCATATCTATATAGTTCCATGCAGAAAATTATATATTTAAAATAGCTGCATACATTTGCAAGATCTTACAGAAGCACCCCCAGGTGCTACAGCAACTGAAATAAAAATTCTCTCTATTAAATTTAAAATATAATTTAAAATTGAACTCGCTTCTAAACATGAGTTTAAGAATGTGATTATAATCTTTTTCCTCCTTTCCATTTTACATCATATTGTGCTTTTATGGCAACTGCCATGGACTAAATATACCACACAACTCAAAATGTTGAACAATGACATTTAAATAAATCAAAGGAGATTTCTAATATCACATGTACACCAGAGGCAAGTGAAGTTACTTCCCACTAACTAAAGATAAATTACATTTAAGTCAAACATGACTGGTCACTTCCAACTGGGAATCAGACTATCTGATAGGAGCAGCTGTTAGAACAGGCTTGACAAAATGCTTTGTTAGTACCTAAGTTTAGAAATTCACATCCTTGCATTCCTTGATGTCTCATCAAAACAAAAACACACTAGCTATTTTCCTGTTACTTTCTCTGTAGAAGAATGGCAGTGGGAAGCAGATAAGAAGTACAAAGTGTTTTCTGTTGAGATAATCAGGGAAGTCAAAGATTTCAAACTTGGAGCAATGGCAATAACCCCAACTGAAAAGTCTTCCATCAGTATTTCAGAGAGAAGGAAATAACTATCAGAATGTCATTCTGACCCTCAAGAAAGTATGTTCTACAAGCAGAAGTTTTAATAAAAGGTTTTATCCAATTATCTCCTGCCACCAAAGTAATCAGCATTTCTCAGGTCCCACAAAACTAAAAAACTAGCATGTTTCAGATTAGTCTGGAGTTGCACTGGCCAGCTAGAACACAAATGCTGGTGGGCATCAGGAAATTAGTTCTGATTGCCTTATCCTCTACAGAAACACTGTAGGTCTTTTTAAACCTGTTCAATGAACCAATTTCATAAAGCACATAGGAACTTATTTTGAAACTTCAGTTTTTTCCAAACATAATTTGTTGTATCAGTTCAATTTAAATTGGCACAGAAGTTGACAAGTGGAAAGAGCAGATGTAAACTGCATAGTATGTTCTTGTAAATCTATGAAAAGACAAAAAAATCCTACTTTTGAATTTGACAAGTAATACAATGCCATTTCAAATAAAATTATCTTCATTAGAAAAATAAACACAAAATACAGACCTCCCTGGCTTACTGAATGCCCCAATACAAGTACAACAAATGTTAAATACTTGACTACTGAAATCCCACATAAAGTTTTGAAAATATCCTCACTTCTCCTTACAGTACTGAAAGACAGTAGAAAACAGTTACTTTTCAGGGATCTTACTACCAATGACAAATCTAAACAAGAAGCACAGAAGTCTACTATAATAAATAAGAAGGTTACTACCTCCTTATATTTCATTCTGTGTTCAAGATAAAAGTCGTCTAAAATTCTAGTGTCAGACTGCTGTTACTCTTTTCACAGAGAATCACTTTAAATATGTGTTTACCATAAATAAGAATACTAACACTTATTAATGTATCATTATGTTCCCTCTAATAGCTAAAAAAGAGGAGTTATGACCTATTTTTCTTAATCTACTGTACTAGCTCATAGAATAAGGTATCCCAGTTCATTTAAATTAAGTATCCCAGAAAGTTAAACCTTAGTTCTGAAGCATTATGAATGGGAAATGAGTAAGTAAATGCTAACTTATAAAAGTAACTCCAGAAACCACTGTTAATGGTAACTGCTGATAAAATCAAATCACCTTTTCTTTGTACATGGGAAAGAGAAGCAATCCAAACCATAAATTCATGGGCAACAGCAAATACCTTTTTTGGTTTATTTAGAAGATTGGAGAGAAAAAACTCTACAAATGCCAATCAATTTTCAAAGTTATTTATATAAGAATCCATGAAGAACATGGCAGTTACTCTAAATTTTAAAGGTTATTCCCTAATATGGCATATCGCTTACCTTAAAAATAAGAAATTATTAAAAAAAAAAAAACACAGCAAGGAAAATAAAACCCACAACAAAAACCAAAAAGAAACAGAAAAAACTTACCTGTATGTGCATTACAAGCTGTGCTTTCTCCTTGTCCTTACGCTCTATGCATCTCTTTAGTTCTTCTACCTCTGACATCACAGCATTATGACTCAACTTTGCTTTAAGATCCAAAATATGTTTCTCCGTTTCCTGCTTCTCTCTCTCATATCTTTCAGCTAGTATAAAAGAGTGACACCAGAACAGCAAACCCAGTAGAAACAGTGACTTGTGGTAATTTTTTTTTTTTTTCATTTCTCTTTTGGCAGTTTTCTTGTCTACTTGAGACTATTCTACAACTACTGATTTTGAACAAAGTATCTGCAAAAAATGGCTATACTTGTATCATAACATTTTACTGAATGAGACAGTATTTCCAGATTACTAATCATTTTATGGGGGTTCCCCCCCCCTTTTTTTCTTTTCTTTTTTTATTAAAACAAAATACCCTAACAAAACCCAATAAAATAGAATCAGGTAGAAGAAACAATGGTATAAATGAAACTTGGCTACAAACTTCAAGGCCAAGATTTTATCCCACCAGAGTAATACCTCCTGCTTTGGAAATCACACTACTTGTGAATTTTATGTCTGAATTCTACAATAGAAGTTCTTGATGGAAGTAAGCTATAAATTTCCCCAAGCAGAATTTCAAAGGTCTGTAGACATGAACAACTACTGGAGGCAAAGAAAAACTTCATTTGTATTCTTCCTATGCATCTTTGAAGAAACAGAAATAACACAATAAGAAGAAAAACAACTGCATAAATTATATAGATATATGTGTATCTCTAAATAGGTCCATTACATTGCTCTTGTTTTCTTTATATTTTTACAACAGTTTTGATCTATAATTATAATACAAATGGAAAAACTAAAATACGTTTTCATTAACATGAAATGGATATTGTTTCAAATAAATTTACTTTTAAGCAGATAGAAATGTAGAATCATAGAACAATTTGGGTTGGAAAGGACCTTAAGTTCATCTAGTTCCAACAGTATCACACAGTATCACAGTATCACAGTATGCTAGAGATTGGAAGGGACCTCGAAAGATCATCTAGTCCAATCCCCCTGCCGGAGCAGGAACACCTAGATAATGTTACACAGGAATGTGTCCAGGCGAGTTTTGAATGTCTCCAGGGAAGGAGACTCCACAACCTCCCTGGGCAGCCTGTTCCAGTGTTCTGTCACCCTCACTGAGAAGAAGTTTCTTCTCAAGTTTAAGTGGAACCTCTTGTGTTCCAGTTTGTACCCATTACCCCTTGTCCTATCATTGTTTACCACTGAGTAGAGCCTGGCTCCATCCTCGTGACACTCCCCCTTTATATATTTATAGACACTTATAAGGTCACCCCTCAGTCTCCTCTTCTCCAAACTACAGAGACCCAGCTCCCTCAGTCTTTCCTCATAAGGGAGATGCTCCACTCCCTTAATCATCTTTGTTGCCCTGCGCTGGACTCTCTCCAGCAGCTCCCTGTCCATCTTGAACTGAGGGGCCCAGAACTGGACACAATATTCCAGATGGGGTCTCACCAGGGCAGAGTAGAGGGGAAGGAGGACCTCTCTCGACCTACTAACCACCCCCCTTCTAATACACCCCAGGATGGCACTGGCCTTCTCAGCCACAAGGGCACAGTGCTGGCTCATGGTCATCCTGTCATCCACTAGGACCCCCAGGTCCCTCTCCCCTGCACTGCTCTCTAACAGGTCGTTCCCCAACCTATACTGGAACCTGGGGTTGTTCCTGCCCAGATGCAGGACTCTACACTTTCCCTTGTTATATTTCATCAAGTTATTCCCTGCCCAACTCTCCAGCCTGTCCAGGTCTCGCTGGATGGCAGCACAGCCTTCTGGCGTTTCAGCCACTCCTCCCAGCTTAGTGTCATCAGCAAACTTGCTGATAGTACACTCAATTCCCTCATCTAAATCATTGATGAATATATTAAATAATACTGGTCCCAGTACTGACCCTTGAGGCACTCCACTAGTTACAGGCCTCCAACTAGACTCCGCCCCATAGACCACAACTCTCTGGCTTCTCTCCTTCAGCCAGTTTGCAGTCCACCTCACTACCTGATCATCCAGACCACACTTCCTCAATTTAGCCGTGAGGATGCTGTGGGAGACTGTGTCAAATGCTTTGCTGAAGTCAAGGTAGACTACATCCACTGCTCTGCCATCATCCATCCACCGTGTTATTTCCTCATAAAAGGCTAAGAGATTGGTCAAACATGATTTCCCCCTGGTGAAGCCATGTTGACTGCCCCTCATAACCCTCTTATCCTTGATATGCCTTAAGACGGCACCAAGGATAAGGTGTTCCATCACTATCCCAGGGATGGAGGTGAGGCTGACCGGTCTATAGTTACCCGGGTCCTCCTTCTTGCCCTTTTTGAAGACTGGGGTGACATTTGCTTTCCTCCAGTCCTCAGGCACCTCTCCCGTTTCCCAAGACTTGGTAAAGATGATGGAGAGTGGTCTAGCAATGACTTCCACCAGTTCCCTCAGCACCCGCGGGTGCATCCCATCTGGACCCATGGATTTATGGATGTCCAGATTGCTCAACTGATCTCTAACCCATTCCTCATCGACTAAGGCAAACCGCTCCTGCCATGGGCAGGGACACCTCACACTAAAACTGAAGGTTCTCTTCAACCTTGAACATTGTCAGGGATGAAGCATTTACTGCTTCTTTGGGCAACCCATTCCAGTACTTAACCACCATCACAGTAAAGAACTTCTTCCTTATATCTAACCTGAACTTCCAGTGTTTAAGTTTAAACCCGTTACCCTTTGTCCTATTACTACAGTCCGTGATGAAGAGTCCTGCTCTGGCATCCTTGTAGATACATTAAAATAACTGGAGAAAAACTATTAAAATGAACATGTACAAAATCTAGCCATTTCCCAGTGCTCTATATGGGATTTGTAAAACAGGGAGTCAGATTTCCATTTTGATAACCTATTTTAAATAATCTATTTTAAAGATAATTCGATACCTTAAGTATGACAATATACAAATAAGTCATTAACCAAACCGATTAAGCATTCACAGAGACACTGGACTTGGAGCCACTTTTCCTCTATCATCTTGACTAATACATTTTTACATTAATAAAGAAAAAGATAGTCTCTCTAATGCCTTCTGATAATCCTTGAAAAGTTTACATACAGCAAGATAACTAACAATGCAGCAAAGACCTTGCTAAAATGGTAATTTGATATGCAATTAATTACATCTTGGAATTGTTTAAAGTATTCTAAATATCATTGTTCCATCTCTAAAATTCTAACATACTGCAAACAGTAGCCCTGACTGCATTATGCTGGTAAATTTTTTAACCTCTCTGGAACATGTTGTTATCCCTTAGAAATTTTACCAGAATTTCATCAGTCTTACCAACCAACTACATAAATTATGTTTACTATGATTTTCAAGATTGAAGAATTTAAACTGCAAATGGACTGAAATGTAAAATTTTAGAAAAATTAGAAAATATTTAAAATATTTCATGTCTTAACTCAGTAAAATCACTACTTTGCTGAAACTGCCTTTAATACTCTTCATTTGTTTTAACCATGCAAATCATGGTATTTTATCCTAGATTTTAACTCACACTTGTTAATTTTCAGATTGTCCTGGGTTCAGCAGTAGCAGTCATTTATTCTCCTTCTTAACAGGTGGTGCAGCGCTGTGTTGTTGACTTTTGGCCTGGGAACAGAGCTGATAACACTGATGGTTTTAGTTACTGCTCAAATGTTTAGACTGGCCATAGGACTGAGTCTCATGCTCTGCCAGGGAGGAGGGGAAGCCGGGAGGAAGCAGAGACAGGATATCTGACCCAAGCTAGCCAAAGAGGTATTCCATACCACAGCACGTCATGCCCGGGAGATAACTGGGATTTACCCGGAAGGGCACTCTCTTCTCGGTCGGACTCGTTTCGGCTGATGGTATCGTATTCCCTTCCCTTGTTATTTCTCTTATCATTATTATTATTGGTGGTAGCAGTAGTGATTTGTGTTATACCTTAGTTACTAAACTGTTCTTATCTCAACCTGTGGGAGTTACATTCTTTTGATTCTCCTCCCCATCTCTCTAGGAGCGGGGAGGGCGGGGGGGAAAGACTAGACCCTGCCTTTGAACATCCAGCCCAGCACAGGCAACCCGGGTGCCAGGAGGAGCTGTACTTCAGTGCCAATCACTTCCGAAGCAGCTTGAACCCCTTAAGAGGCTGCCAGTATCTCTTTCTCAGTTGGGGTATAATTGGCCTCAGATCCTTTGTATCCCTGACTCCAAAAGCCGAGGGGTCGACCTCAAGTCTCCCCTGGAGCTTTTTGCCAGAGGCTCCAGGTAGGACCATTCTCCCCATTATTCAGCTTGATGTGACAGATCATCTCTACGATCGCGGATTCCCTCAGAGACTGGATGCCTTTGTCTAAAGTAGTCCACTTGGCCAAACGACATAACATCCGGGTCTATGGGTATATCCCCGTTATTCTTCCCCCACCCCCCCGCTCCTGGAGGGATGGGGAGGAGAATCGGAAGAATGCAGCTCCCACAGGCTGAGATAAGAACAGTCCAGTAACTAAGGTATAACAGAAATCACTACTGCTACCACCAATAATAATAATGATAAGGGAAATAACAAGGGAAGAGAATACGATACCACCCGCCAAAACGAGTCTGACCAAGAAGAGAGTGCCCTGCCGGGTAAATCCCAGTTACCTCCCGGGCATGACGTGCTGTGGTATGGAATACCTCTTTGGCTAGCTTGGGTCAGGTGTCCTGTCTCTGCTTCCTCCTGGCTTCCCCTCCTCCCTGGCAGAGCATGAGACTCACAAAGTCCTATGGCCAGTCTAAACATTTGAGCAGTAACTAAAACCATCAGTGTTATCAGCTCTGTTCCCAGGCCAAAAGTCAACAACACAGCGCTGCACCAGCTACTAAGAAGGAGAAAAAAATAACTGCTACTGCTAAACCCAGGACACTGATGTCAGTACTTATTAACTTAAAGCTGGGGACTTATATGGCTGGTTTTGTTGAAACAGTAGAATAATTAGACTGAAACTCAAGGACAAAAATAATTGTCCAGGCTAACTAACAAATTTGCAGGCCTCTAGTATGAAATATGAGAGTTTAACCACCTGTTCTGATTCTCCTGTCATTATCTTGTACATCCTGGTAGCTCAGCCGGTGCGAAATTTGACGTTGTAACTCTACACGGTCTTCTTCTGCTCTCAAAAGTTGGGAACGAAGATCCTCTATCTAAAATGCATGTACAAGTGTCAAATGTTTAATTAAAACAGAATGAAAAAGTAAATAGTGTACTTCTATTAAATACTACCAAATGAAAAAGACAAAAAGAATCTATACACAAGTAGTATTTAAATAAATCTCAAGAGTACTGCAGATGGTAAAAAAAAAAAAAAGACATATTACTTCCTAATTATAGACTACAAAGTGATTATTCAAAATGAAAAGAAATATTTTGTTATGTTGACCACAGCAGAGCACTAACTTCTCTAGACTAAACAAAATGCTACCATTTTATATGTTGCTATTCTCTTTTTACACTGGTAGTGAAAATATCCATACATATTTAATAAGCAATACACTTTATGTAAATTCTGATCATTAATAATACAATTTACTTATCCTTAAGAAACACTGGGTTTTTTTACATTTTTCCTTTCTATCATACACAGCCTAGCACTTAAAAATGACACTGTTTACAGGAAAATAAAGAAAAAAGGACATGCTAAAATTGCTTTGTAGGAAAATAATTTTAACTTGTATTATCCGTATGTGATAAAGCTCTGTATTCCATGCACAGTGAGTTGAGTTCAAAACAGTAATACAACCAAGTCAAACTTCTTCTAGATGCACAACCAACATTAACAGGTAAGAATGCTAATTGCCCCTTCCCTATTTATTTCACATTTTTCCCCCAGCTCCTCTGAAAGAAGGATTAGAAAAGTTTAGGAGAAAGGAGAGGTTTTTGAAGATATAACCCAGGTTCCCGAAACTTCCAGATTTAATCATATGTACATCAACAGACACTGTTTATAGCACAGTTTAGACAGTCTTTCAGGTGTTTGTTCTTTATATGTTTTTATTGCGTTTTAGCATACAATACAGCAGATACTTCTAGATCACTGGTTTATACAAACTCATCAATTAGAGTGTGCACTTTGCACAACAATTATTATTAATACAGAAGTTTCTAAAGCATACTATAAGGGGAAGTTACAAATTATTATTATTTGTAATATTATTATGAGTTTTAAACGTACTATAAGTACTAAACTACTGTAATTATTATATAAAAAGCATATACATAAAACATTTGCAAAGCAGAAAAAGTATACCGAGAGCTCAGACCACATATTTTAGACCTTTAAACCTGCCTTTATGTACCTCTTTCTTGACCTTCCAAAACAGCGCTATCAGAATATGAGACAGGAAGATTAAGCAAAAGACTCAGACACCATCTAATATGAAAACTTCAGTATTTTCAATACAACAGAGCAGTTACCTGATGTAAAAGAGCTTCTCTTCTGCCTTCTGATTCATTCAACATTTTCTGTGACTGTTCCAATTTTTGCTCAAGCTTTCATTATAGAAGATGAAGAAAGAAAGCAGTGTGCACATCATAGTACAAAAGTGTATTTTAACTATTTCATTCTGGCAAAAATTAATTGATATAAGCATCTATCTAAACCAAGGTATACATTACAAAACATCCTTATTTGTCAAAAATCTTAAAGCAAGCTTTCATTTGTACTGAATTCCCGCTATATTTATTTAATTGCATAAAAGAGAGTTTAACTCACAGTCTATAATTTTTGTACTATATTCTATGTCACATGAAGATACAAAATGATATATATAATCCAAAACAAAAAAGAATGAAAGCAAATTTTTACTGGATTAAAAGTAAGAGAAAGGAAGGTAAACTTCAAGAAAAAGCTTCAAAAACATTGTGCCTGGATTTGAAACATGCTTTCGAATTCAAATCAAAATTAAGTGATTTCCAAGTGTTAACACTTGGAAGTCACCTTTGTAACACATTTCATTCATAAAATTGTTAAAGATAACATGCATTGGTAGAACTGGTAATTGGCAAATTCTGTGGGTTTTGCGCTGTGCAAGATGCATTTGAATTATTCAGGGAAAAAGACCGAAAAACTGAAGTGCCAGAGTTTCATACAATTAGAATTTTTCCCCAAAATATAATATTAAGGGAATCTTAAAATAGTTACATCAGAAACAGTCAAACTGATGATCATTTAGGAAAGCAAACAAAAATAAATATAAAACAGCTGAAAACAAAAGCTACAAAAAGAATTCTTACTTCTACCATAAATAGTTCAAAGATCAAAAAGATCCAGATGGAAACAAATAGAATTTTTGACAGCAAAAATTGTTATTGCAGAGATAGCAATCTCAAAAGGATGTTGAGAGGCTGGCGAACGGGCAAAGTAAACAGGACTAGCATTAATGGAATGGAGAAAGTAAAAGAAAACATTACATAGATGGTTTAGCATAAAGGGGTATAACTTTGACATCATGGGCACAAAGGCTAAACTCTATGTAAGAGAAAAAAAAGATAGAAAAAGCATAATATTGCCCTAGCATCCTGCCAGAACACAAATATAAGAAATCTTGTTTTCTATGAACAGGAAGAGAGCAATATGGCAACAGATAGCTCAGTAAGAATAATTAACAATGATGCATAACATAACTAGCATTAGTTGTAGGGATAAAGAAAAGATGTATCTTTGAGCTGCTGCAAATAAGCAACAGCAGACTGTATAAATCCAGAGACAAATCAGAGAAAGAAATCAAGGATAATCCCCAAGTTACAAACTTGCCTGCCTGGCAGGATGGAAAACTTGTTAGAAGTAACACACTGTAACTCAAAAGCTTAGAAAGAAAGAAATTGAGTGTTGCTACATTCATAGTTCCTCTAATGCAAAAAAAAAACAAAAAAAACAAAAAAAAAACAAAAAAAAAAAGAAAGCCCCACCACAAAACCTTGTTATCGTGAAGAGTAAAGAAAGTTTCATCTTGCTGGTTTCCCTGAAACAGGAAGCATATACTGTAACATATGACACTATACACTTACTTAAAACCAAACAAGAAAGGAGAAAATTAAAGTCTTACTTGGTTCTTTTCACTTTCATATTTCACAAGTTTATTTCTCATGAGTTCTTCTGTTTCATCTGCTTTAGCATCTTGCTTCCTTAAAGCCTTTAGGGGGAAAAAATATATTGTGAACTTCATTATAAAAGTTACAGAAGTCTTCTTTGCAAGTCTTAAAATGAAAGAATCTACTGATGTATTTAAGAAAGAAGATCTAGACAAATGTTTTCTGCCTATGCCCAATAATTCCATGTGAAGCCAATGTATATTATGAAAAAATAAATATATGTCCACGCATACATAAACACACCCACGCACAGAACAGGGTCAAATACAAAGTCAAAACTAGCACTAACATCCTTCCGACGTATAGAGCTCCAGATGCTGAAGGTTGACCCTAAACACTTTTAAACAAAGGTTTAAGAGCCTCAAGAAATCCTCTACAGATAAGCTGCAAACATATCAGATGAAAAGAATATATTCTGTAATATAAAATATGCACAATATTAAATACAATGCACTGTAGTAAGGAAAACACAGTTGGAAGCCAGAAAAAGGAAAAAAATATTTTCATCCAAATCTGGGCACATGTTTAGAATAGCACTACTGTTGTTATGTTGTAGTTTTAGAGAGAATAAACTGAAACTTTTCTAATCAAAAGTTACTGAAATTGTTGTGCCCTACTTGGGGGTGGGGGAGAGAGAGAAAATAAACATTGGGACATTTTTCCCAAAGTATCTAAAAACAGTTATATACATTATCTAAAACATCTTAAATAAAATTGCTTTAAATTGTCTTGAATATCAATTTCAAAATCTTTTCTTTCTGCAAACCAACACTATTTGTAGAACATAGCCAATCACTATCAAAGGAATGCATTACACGTCACAGACATTAATGACACAATTTGCAACATACACAACCCAAGCTAGGATATCTCAAGCCATAACAATGTCATTGGCTTATCTTAAAAACCACTCAAAAACACCAGCTAGGAGAGGTCACTAACCATACTAAGAGAATTTGCTGTGAATTTTAATAACTATGTTAATAAATCTTGTTTTGCTACTACACAACATGACCAAGTGGCTTTCACACTACACACCAATCAGAGACCTTAGCATTCACCTTTTACCTTCATCCAACACCGTGAAGTGCAAGTACATCTATTCCTTCCACCATTACTTGCTAAAACTACAACAGAACAAACATACAGCATGTCCAGAAAGAAATGTCTTTTTCCCAGTCTGCTCTTCCTGAGTAGCATTCTTATTTTACATTTTAAAAAAATATTTCCTTAAATATCTCTCAATTTTGCCCCTATACTTAGTGCAATTTCATTCAGGTTTTGAACATTTTCTTTTCATTGTATACTGGGGAATGATTTCACTGTACAAAAACAGAAGGCAAGATATTAATTAGCCCCAGTGAAGCCAAGAATCCCGTTTTAGAAGCTCTGCTTTTAAAAGTAGCTGTGTGGAGAAAATAAACAGATTTATATACTTATCTCAGTCTTACATCCTACCACCTCAGGAAACATAGAATCATAGAATAATTAGAGTTGGAAAGGACCTTAAGATCACCTAGTTCCAACCCCCCTGCCGTGGGCAGGGGCACCTTACGTTAAATCATATCACCCAAGGCCTCGTCCAGCCTGGTCTTGAACACTGCCACGGATGGAGCATTCACAACCTCCCTGGGCAACCCATTCCAGTGCCTCAACACACTAACAGGAAAGAATTTCCTTCTTATATCCAACCTAGACTTCCCCTGTTTTAAGTTTTAACCCGTTACCCCTTGTGCTGTCACTACAGTCTCTAATGAAGAGTCCCTCCCCAGCATCCCTATAGGCCCCCTTCAGATACTGGAAGGCTGCTATGAGGTCTCCACAGAAGGGTTTCAGTATAGTTTGGACTACTTGAACAGTTTACACTAAAAACTGAGGTTGTGGAAAATAGTTATCATAACTATGCCACTGAAAATATTATGCTATAAAGAATCATGCTTTTAATCTTACTGATTCATAATCAAATACTGTAAGACTGTAACATATTTAAAATATTTCTCCAGGTATACTTATATCTGTCATTCCCATCAACTGCAAAACTCAACACTGCACACAGACCTGACACACTCCCATTTTACTCAAAAAGACTAGGGAAAACTAGTAAGCTACATGAACAAAACAAAACAAAATATATATATATACATCCGAACAAGCCAAAAAATCAAACAAGATCATCACTTCAGCTAATGCCATTATTGCATGAGTTTTCAGGGTTTCTATAAACAACTAAAACAACCAGTTCAGAACACTCTACTAGGGATATATGATGAGTACAAACTGCAATTGAGCTTCAATTTCACTAGTGAAATTAGAAGCTGTGTTATATACAGTCAATTGTATGCCACCCTTAGTTTTGGCACTAAATTAATAATTAATATATGAATAAAAAATTATGTTTTCACGCGCAGATTTTGCTAGAGATGTCAGCATCAGAAGGAAAATGTTAAAACTGTGCTTGAATCAGAAATACTAGGTAAATTTTCAAAGATTTCCCTACTGAAGGCAAAAAGTATATCTCTGCATTAGTAGTAGTACATCCTAAACCTCGGAAGCTACCACTGAAAAAAATACGCTATTTCAACTTATCAGGATCACTGAATGATATTTAGGCAATTAAATAGCAGTAATTTCAAATAAAAAGGCAGTCTTTCCTATCACTGATATTATAAATATGACATTCAGTTTTATTTTCTGTGTGTTATAAAAATAGGCCATAACCATTTCATTTTTAAGAAAAAATAATTCATATATATATTCAAAAAGAATGTAATGATGAAATAAATTATATATACCATATATGCACCACTTCAAATGGAAACATATCTGAGTAGGTGCTAGGTAGGCAATCACTTAACTAATCAAATTTGAAAGTAATGCATGGCCCACAAACTGAAATTTATATTTTCAAGTGAGACAGATCAGTGAATTATATTTTTACTGGCAGAAATACACAAGCAGACAAACCTCATGCTATATTTTAAAATAAGACAACAAATGTACCACATCATAGTGAAAATTCTTCCCTTAACTTGCTAAATTAGCAACTAGCATGGGTCTGAGTATCCTACCTAGATATAGCAGCCAGGCATTTAAAAACAGACTGCCTAGATATTTCAGTGACAGATATGTATGAAACTTGCTCATGTTCCAAGGCTCTCAGATTCAAATGAGAATAAAACAGAAACCATTAGCCACAGGTGGCATAGCACAGAGCCAAGGAACAAGTATCAACGACGCATTAAAACATCCAGATGGCTCAGAGCACAGATCAAGTTTATGTTTGTCTAGAAGGATCAGAGATAAAAAACATGCAAAAAGAGAATTTTCATAAACCCTTTTGATTGCCAGTCTACCCCACTTTCATTGAAAATCCACCAGCCTGTTGCACGTCACAGTATGTACAGTGGGAGGCAAAGAAACCCCAAGTATCCAGTTGCACGAAGAAAAAAACAAAATGTTTCCTAGCCTATTCAAGTTACTAGCTTAAGATATAACTATAGTTACTGTCTCATTACAGACTGTGGGTTCAAAATGTTCTATAAAAACGTTTACCTAAAGCATGCAAAGCATGAACACACAGACTCATTGCACCAAAATCCGGGAAGCCAAGCACAAGAAACAGTAAAGACATCCAGGACATCCAAAAGCCCATTTTTAAGAATGATACTTGATCTTGTTTTAGAAAATGGATGCATAAATGCAAACAGTACAAGGTAATGGCGTCTTTATGTTCAAAATGAAGCACTGAAGAATCTTAAAATAGCTTTAGTTTACATAGCACATGTATTTTGTTAAAGCAACACATACGTATGTGTCAGTAGCCCTAGAAAGATGAGAATATTTTTTCTCATTTCTAATCAGAAACACATTTGTATCAGAAATACAGAAGAAACTGAAGATGTATGATTTGCATGAAATTCTGTTTGCTAATTTGAATTTTTTAATTTGCAGTAATTGCTGTTTAAACTGTGTATACTGGTGTATTGAAACACTAAGTTAAAAGGTACATAAAAACGTAGAGACAGTAATTCTTATCCGCCTACACGGAGCGCATACAGACTATGGAATCAAAATAATAATCTAAATTTAGATGTTAAAGATAAAAACATTTATATGACAAGATTTCTTTATGGTGAGTATACAACTAGATATCATCCTGGTTAATAATCACTCTGTGATTTTAATATTAGTGCAGCACACATATAAAGTTTGCATATCATAAAAAAGACAGACAAAGACAAGACAGACAAGAGAAAGACAAGCATATATATCCTCATGCACAGTTAGATCCTGAAAACATATAATTTATAACTGACATTTAGGAAAATCTTTCTCATAAGACAGTAAAATACTGACAGGTAGTGGTCAGTTATGGGCACTGCACTTTCCTTAAAAATAGTAACTATTAATATTTAAAATGCACAAAATTTCTTAATTAAAGCAATTACTGACTAAAAACAAAAGTCAAATTTAACTTTGTGTGATTTGAAATGTATTAACAGGCAAACTAATGAAAAAGTCGTCTCATTAAATAGCCACAAAATTTAAATAGCATTTCTCTGTAAATCATTCAGGCCATAATAAATGACAGGGTTTCAGAACTCAGTCCAAACCCTACCTTCCAGTCATGTTACTCAGGAAACATCTTGGAGAAATAATATAGGACGATAATAGAACATTACATCCATGCAATGATCACCAGAAGACTGATGTTGCTGAAAGAGTTAACAGTCCATTTAACTCAAAACTCAAATTATAAAGGACAAGAAACAGAACAACAAACTAAAAAGCACTTAAAAATTATGTAGAAACATGCTTCATCCAGAGAACAATTGAAGGAAAATATTTACTTTATTCTCACTAGGGTCTACAAAGTACACAAAAAAAACTCAAGAGCATTCTTTCTAAAATACATTCTTTTTTACATCAACTTAAGCTACAGACACACACACCATGCCCTAAGATCATTTGTATCTTATAAAGACTACTTCTCGATACAGTCCTCAGTACATTCATTTCTTCCATGCAGCACCAGCTACGAATGTATGTTGTGTGGAAAAAGATTGTTTCAGCCAGGATTAGCTCTGAACCTTGACTCGGCCAAACTCCTAAGAGTAAAAGTTTATCAAGAAGACTAATAGATGTTGAAATTTCCCACAAACTGAGAATAAGGACTATGTTTTGAACAGTGGTGTCAAAAAAGTATTTTAAATAGAAATCTAGGGGCTCCTCAGGAAAAATAATTTACAAATATATGCACAGAACAAAACAGAACTTTCAGAAGAAAAGATTAAAACATCTTCATCTACACCTGGACAGCTTAGGGGAATGAAAGGTCAGGAATGTACTCAGTATTTCATATTCATTAGGCATTACATTTAAAAGATGAGCTTCTAGGAGAAGAGGTATACATCTTGAGGGCTCATGATCACATAGCCAATCATATGAAAGTCTTTGAAAGAAAACTCGAATTCAATTGAGTGAATTCAAACACGTTTCAAAGGCAACCATGGCGGTGTCACTGTATCTTTACAGAAAAAGTTGTTATCCATTAAAAAAAAAGACTGTTCCAGTCTGCAGACAACACTACAACATGACACCAACTCATTTCATTAAGCAGATCTCTACCAGATGGAAGGCACAAAGAATCTAGAAATGAATGAAGGCATATTAAAGAGCAATGAAAACTATAATAAAGCACTCTAGTTCTTTTCACTCACTAGGACATCAATACAGAGAAAAATGAATCATAGAACCATAGAATAGTTAGGGTTGGAAGGACCTTAAGATCATCTAGTTCCAACCCCCCTGCCATGGGCAGGGACACCTCACACTAAACCATCTCACCCAAGGCTCTGTCCAGCCTGGCCTCGAACACCACCAGGGATGGAGCATTCACAACTTCATTGGGCAACCCATTCCAGTACCCCCATATCTGAAGGGGGCCTATAGGGATGCTGGGGAGGGACTCTTCATTAGGGACTGTAGTGACAGGACAAGGGGTAATGGATTAAAACGTAAACAGGGGAAGTTTAGATTGGATATAAAGAGGAAGTTCTTTACTGTAAGGGTGGTGAGGCACTGGAATAGGTTGCCCAGGGAAGTTGTGAATGCTCCATCCCTGTTGGTGTTCAAGGCCAGGTTGGACAGAGCCTTGGGTGAGATGGTTTAGTGTGAGGTGTCCCTGCCCATGGCAGGGGGGTTGGAACTAGATGATTTTAAGGTCCTTTCCAACCCTAACTATTCTATGATTCTTTCTGAAATACTAGCAGAAGCACTATGAGCATTTTGATAAACATTGTTTTCTATATGTACCAAAAGAGCATCATAGAATCATAGAATCATAGAATCGTATCTTATCTTCTTAAATATGACCGCTCAGTAGTCTCTAGCGTTACACGAAAGACATCAGTCTAAACTGAAGTTCCTCAATATCACTGCACAGTGCAAAACAACTGCCTTTCAAAAAGTATGTATGCCATTGCTAGTATTAAAAGTAAAAAACATGGAATCACACATTTCTTCTTAACTCTATTACATAATTAGAGATAAAATTGCAAATCATATCTTAAGGGAGGCAAAATAAAAAGTAACTCCCAGTTGAGACACAGATTTTCCTAATAGCAGTAACATCAGAAACAGAGATGTATTTTTTGTACGTTTCCCAAAGCGAGCAGAAAAAAAGGCTACTAGCTGTCTCCAATTTTAATTCATAATATTGACATGTGTATTTGTCTCCTAAACAATATTTTATGCTTCATCAGATACATCAGATCAAACAGTATACTACATCAGATACTGTTTGAAAAGCAATGAAAAGCTGTCTGGCCACTGCAGCACATTTGATTGCTTGTTGAGATAAGTTAAAAATAAACTGCTCACCGCAAGCAAAGTTTATATTTTAGAAAACAAAATGTTTCAATTGAGACAACCCAGCTAATGACTTGCTTTTGTTTGGAGTTTGAGGAAAGGCGCGAGGCATGGGTTATTTTGAAGAATGTTTGTGCCAGTTGCAAAAAAGATCTAAACATAGACAAGACATTATCATGAAGAACACAGACTGTACGTGTTATCATCTGGTTTCTAAAACAAGTGGAGCTGGATGGATGCAGTTTAAAATTAAGTGTCAAAGATACAAGTACTTTTACCAATTTGACAGGTACAGGCTCACAAATGTAGCAGGATCCTAACTCACCCCTGAATACACAGGAAGTTTTCATTTGCATACCTCTTGCAATTGAAGAGACATATGTCCCAGTTGGTCCTGGTGCCTTTCTACAACTTGTCTTTTAGTATGCATTTCTTGTTCTATCTCTTGAAGTCTTCTCTCTACCCGCTCCAATACCTTCAAAAGGAAAAAAAAAAAAAACAAAACCAAAAACATCCTGAAGGAAATTAGTGTGTCCTTTACCACATGTTAAGATAACAATGGCAAAAAAAGGTAAATAGAGTACAGGGCAGAAAGAAGAAATTTTTATTCTTAAAATTTTTATTTTATTAAATAAAATTTAGATGGTGTAGAAAATACCCAGAGTTATAGCAAAAATTACTCAAGGAGGGAACTGACCTGCTATCTTACTAGCAATATCATCCTTTAGCTATATGTATATTTTTCTCTACAGTGGCGGTTCTACTCAAATGCTAAATATCTCAACATCTAGCTTGGTGCAGTCTAACCTGAAGCTGCAATACAAAAATCTTATCTTCTCCAGGCCTGATTAACCCCTGGAGAATCATTTCCTTCACATCTCCAGTCTACGACCACACAGACCAGTGTTTGCCTTTCATAATCTGAAATTTGTGAGTGAAAAGTAGACAAGAGCTGTCACAGCACAAAATAATTACATCACTTTAAGACTTTTTCCCAATATGTTGTGAATACAAAGGAATACAGATAACAGTAGTTATTTGTTAAAGCAATTTGGATTATAAACACAGTAATTCAACCTTACACTACAACACCAGCACGAGTTTATTTTGCATTTCATGCTGCTAGCAGACAGCACCCTCTTGTGGGCAGCAAGTTAAATTTATATCGCTGAAGATTAGCTAGGAAAATATTTATGTATCATTTCCTCCCTACTTTAAAACTACTCATTTTAAACAACTACTAGAAAGAAATACCTCTTTTTATCTAAATACCATTCGGTAATGTGGATTTAAAACACTTTTCAACTACTAGTTCCTGATGTATGTAGAGGGGAACAAGTTCTGATCTGTACTTTCACCATTACGCATACCTCCACTAGCACTAGGCATAAGCACAGAAAATTTTAACATGAGCAACATAGTTGTGTATTAACAGAAAGGTTACATTTGTGGTCTGGGCTGCATGAGTACATCGGGTTTAAAGAATGGAATGGTCTTGCTTTACAACAGAATACATCCATTTGAAAACATTTCTTGTTTGTGAAGCTAGATGAATCGTCAACAAAAAATCTGGAATTCTGTATTTTCTCTTAAAAACCTCAGGAGAAGCTCAAAAAATGTACAGCAACAAACCGCATTCTGTCGTATAAGTTATGAAAAGCTCTGCAGCCATAATCCAGAATAATAACTTACTAAAAACTAATGTACAAAAATAAGGACCACATCACAACATTTGTATTTGTTTTGAAAACTACTCCTCAATGTTACTTCTGTAATTTAGAAAATACTCCTGCTAAGAGAAACAATGATACTATGTAGCTGGAACAGAAAATAGCACTTTGGCATTAAACTTTTTACATCTTTGCTGAAAACTGGGAAATAGCTGTCATTCTTTTCTCCATATATCTCTAAAAGAAAGTTACGTTTTTACATTTTAAAAAAATCTTGGCTACATGTTTCTGAAGGCAGAGGTTTCTCAGCCCTCTCACATATCTTTCAAGTGAAGTTAAGCAAGAGAGCACTACAGCTATAAAGAAAATGTGTAATTTAGATTAGAGAGAACATCCAAAAGTAACATCACCCCCAAAGAAAACATTCAAGAGGAGATCAGTAACTTCCTCACTGACACAGGTCTAGCTCACCACACACTCAGTCAAGTGACATGACATGAGGCAGCACTAGACAAGATTCATTGCAAGTTGTCACTGATGCAGAATGAATAAGAAAGTAACTTTTTTACTAACTACAAGATATCAAGTGATTTGTCTTGCCTCTAACTTTCACCTCCCTCCAGAATACAACCTTTATCTTATTTCTAACAAGGTACTGAAAAAGATGCATTCATTAAATTTGTCAGGCGCATGGAGATTTCAGACTTACAGACATCACCCTTAGGAAAACAAACAAACAAACAAAAAAAAATGTTAAACCCCTGTTCTATCCTCTAAGCCACTTCCAGGACTGGATACAGGATTTCAGTTCTGTTTTCCAACATACCTGAAGCATCTCTATACTGCATCACCTAGACTATTAACAAAAATTTCAGAGAAAACCAGATGAAGAGTAGCACCACATAAAATTCACTTCACTAACAGTTCATGAACTAGTTTTATCACATTTTACCGAAAAGCTTACTAGAACAGTATATGAAATTCTTTCTAAAAAAAAAAAAAACTATGCATGAAGACACAGAAAAACAGTGTTTCATTCATGTAAATTACTTCTATGATACAAATATAATTTTTCTTGATAAATCTGTGTTGTCTGATGTATCCTCCTGGATGTTTATTTTTTCCAGAACTTCAACTGTAATCAATCTATTTTATCCTTTCCAAGGTCTGTCAATTTTGAATATTCCAGGAACATTTTTTCTAACTCATAGTTAGAAAAAAGTTGTTCATGAATATTCCAAAATAGAAGATATTTGGATATTTGCCCACTTTCATTTCCTCAAAAGACTGAAGACTTTTCTGCATGTAATCAGTCATTTATTGCTAGGGTGGTGAGGGACTGAAATGGGTTGCCCAGGGAGGTTGTGAATGCTCCATCCCCGGTGGTGTTCGAGGCCAGGTTGGCACAAAGCCTTGGGTGAGATGGTTTAGTGTGAGGTGTCCCTGCCCATGGCAGAGAGGTTGGAACTAGATGATCTTAAGGTCCTTTCCAAACCTAACTATTCTATGATTTTATGATTCTAAGGTAGAGCTTGGCATACAGAATGGTTGACTATTAAAGAAAGTTGGTTTAGGATACAGGAACAGGTACCACACTGATTAACATTTCTTCAGAAGGAAAAGTATTTTCTAGTAGACAAATGCTTACTAATATTTAATATTTAATATTTAATATAAATATTAAATTAGCATTAATCCTGAAAAAGAGGATTAAACAAAAGGCAGTCTCCTAAACACTACTTTTAGCCTACTTTATAAAGAATAATACTAGTTATATCAGTTGTCTTTCGATCTCCTTCATGTCTTTTAATGAATTTATTTCAAGTCACAACTGAAGGGTATGTAGATCACTTCCACGGTCTATCCTCCATTCTTCAACATTTTTCTTAGAAGCCGCTTTATATTTATGCAACTCTCTTCTAGAGACCAAGACTTACTCTAAGAGGTTTAATATTTTTGCTCCTGTAGTGATGCCAAATATAAGTTTGCTTAGTCATTGTTACAAAGTGCACAGATTAAAAATCATGCACTGGACTCTCTTTTACAGTTTTGTGGGGCCTTTTTGTTGTCTTTTTTTCCTGGAATCTTTCTGCTAACTTGCTGCACAAAGCAGTGAAAGCACCACTCAATACAGTTCCCCCAACATAACATTTACTCAGTCTACACTGGTGTAGACATGATCTCCCACAAGAAACATATTTCTTGGGGGAAATATGGGGGAATATGTGGGAAATATGTGGGAAACATATTTCCTGCTTTTGTAGCCTCTTTGACCTTCCTCAGTTTGTCACAGGCTCTGTGACACACAACAACTGGGATAAAAAGAAGGAAAAAAAACCAAAACAACTAGAAGCAATTAAGTGTCAACTCATTAATTAGCACACGCAGAAGAAACCCTAAAATTCACTTCCTTTGTTCCAAAAGACTCTATCTCAGGCCATTTCTACCATCACAGTATGTATCTTGTCCTCTGGATCTTACCAAAAGCCTTGGTGTAGACAAGCAATTCACTGAAGAACAGCACAAAGAGTACAGAGGTTCTACTTAAAATGAAACACTAGCACTGAATTACTACACTGACATTGCTGTAGCAGCAAAATCTATGAACGTTCCCCCACCACCAATTAAATACAAATAGCAGAATGCCCTGTTTAAAACCAGGGTGACGTTTCAGTCACACAGCTAAATATAATCTTGTGGAAGATGCTGGATGCTTTATCTACAAAAGCAGCATCCTACTTCTTGAGTTTCTTTCCTGTTTTTCAGCCCTCCACTGTTATTTCTAGTGCACAAGTCCTGATGACTGAAATCTATTCCAACAGATTTTTGTTGCCTTTCTCGTTTTGATCTATTTTCTCATCAATGCAGACTTGAAACAGAAGTATCACAAAAATAGCAAAGTTCTTTCACACGTCACTTCAAATACTGTTAAACTTTTCCCTCAGGGCAAAGATGTGTGACATACATTTCACAAGTCACCTGTGAAGTGCCACTATATTAGATTTTCTGAAGGACAGTTACTTATCTGACAATAATCCTGGCTTTCCAAGGTATCACAGCCAACACAAACCTCATGTGAAAGCCATTTCACTTGACATTGCTGTCTTTATTCTCGTACACAGCCTACACTAACCTTCCAATGGCACCATTTCGATTAAGTAGATACTTAAAGGTTAATGCCATTAGAAGGTTAGTGTAGCATCTCAATTAAGCATCTACTTAATTTGAACAAATCTGTGCTTCGGTGCAGTTGCTTTTTATGCATAAAGATCAGCTTTTTGTACTATTTGGGATGTGCTTCTATACCAGGAGATTGCAACAAAGTATCAAAGATGGCTATCTTATGTAACTATAAAGTAAATAAACATTCTTTCAATTGTTTATAACTCTATGCGAACATTCCCCTACCAAACATCCAAACTCTTAAAGGAAATAAGGAATCTCACAAAACATTTAGGTAAGAGATTTTGATGGAATCGTAGAACCTGCAATCTTTATGTCAAAAGCAGACAGATTCTCAAGTGCAAGGCCATGGAGAGTGCTTAAGTATCCAACTATGCCTGTGTTATCACCTCAGATGTCCTATAGGGTGGAAACAGCTCCCTTTAAAGGTAAAATTAATATGCATTGATTGTGTTGTGTGGCTTGAAGTATTCAGATTCAGCATCAAAAATACTTTAAGAATTGTAACGTCTAATTAAAATAAATTCTGAACTAGCAACTCAGAACAACTGCAGTGACTAGACCTTTATCACCCCACATACTTATATATAGAGACAATTTGCAAACATCACTGAATATACTGAACATTATAGCTGTAAGAATTTAGATATATGTCCCTAGGGAAATGAAGACCTAAAAGACCCGAATTGAAAATAATGTTTCTGCCATGAACTCATTCAGTCAAGATATCAAGAATCAATTTGACAATTTATTGCCAAGAATCATATAGTAGAATATAAATATGATGGCAGTATTGGAGGAGATTTTAAAAAAAAAAAAAAAAAAGGCAAACAAGACCAAACAACTCCAAAGCAAAAAGATAAAGACACTAAGGACAAAAGTTCCTGCACAAATTTGCATGAGGAAGTCATGAGAAAAAAAAAAATAAAACAACAGAAAAGTAGTGTCTCCTACCCAGCTCACTTTCACAAATGAGTAATCATTCAGAATTAAATTATGTCATTAGAAGAATTCCTAAACACAGAAAGGTACTAAAGGATCTCAAAAATGTACAATAACAGATCACAGTTTCTTCATGCACTCTAAGGAGGAACCATGATCAAAATTAAAAAGCAGCTTTCCCCAAGATTATGAATTTTGAAACAGAAAATTTCACTATATACACACTTGTAAAGCACTTGCTTTTACTTTAAACAAGCACCTGGAATATAAAATCTGTCTATCTTGCTGATTTCATTATGTAAAGGTAGCATTTTGATAACCCATAGTAGCCTAGATAAGACCATGTTCAGATATATGTACCAATGTGTGGCACTGATTACCAGGACAGAAACCAAACTAGAAGTTCATGTCCTGTTTATATAACTAAAAAAAAATCACCTTTTCATGTGAGTCACACTCACCGTTTCTTGTCTTTGGGACTCAGTAAGCTTTCCAGACAATTCTTCTACAGTTTTTCTTAATTCAGCTTCAGTGCTTCATAGAAAAATATAGGTAAGAAAATACTCTTACAAAAACTAAATATCAACTATGATAATTTTAAGCAGAAAAACTCCCAGATCTTTAAGCTACTTCAATTTCTTCTACAGCCTCTAAATTCCTAGCATAGAGACCAGCCTCAATTAAAAAAGTCATGATAAAAAGTATTTGCATTTCTCAAGTGAAGATAAAGAGCATCTAGGTTGAAAGGCTGTCAACAACTATAAAATTATGAACAGGTCTACAGAGTGCTTTCGAATAGCAGTTCCTACTAGGAATTAGCAGACCAATTCCCGTTATTGCTATTAGACAAAGCACCACATGTTGAGACAGTACATACTTCAGAAAAGCATTATGGCCTGCATAAGAGCTTGTTCACAAGAGACTCCAGTACCAAGAATAAACAAGGAACAAATCTATAATAAAAGAAATTCCCGAGTCCTTGTTGGTTTGTCCATATATCTAGAAGGGGAGGAAAGCCACATATCCTATACAAATCAGAATTGATGGGTCTTATCTACATTTATAAATACTGCACAAGATGATGGGAAACAAGCAGTATATAATACTGCTTTCATCTAAATCTTGTGTAATCCCCTGCTCTTCACAAAATTATTTTTTTAAATACAGAAGAATAAAGTTTAAGCATTATTTAAAAGCATAACAATTATGTTCCACACTATTCTTCATATGGAGTTATATTCTCTTCATACCGATTTCTTCTTGAAAACTCCCGACTGATGTCATCTCCTAGGCGAAGTTGTTCAGTGCTGAGATCTCGAAGAGACTGGTGGAAAGAATGCAGCTGTAAATCAAAGTACACAAATTAAGCCAAGGCTTATGAACCCTTGTATCTGTGATATTCCTAAAATACATATATACCCTTTTAAAATAAAGCAGATAAAAATAGCCTACAATATATCAACACCACAAAATTCCATGAATTGCATGTCTCTATTTCAAACAACCCTTCACAACACTTGCTCTCTGACATTTAATATTCAGTACATTATTTGCTAAACCAAGCTTCCCAACTATGGGGTTTTCTTCTATCATTCACAGCTTGGTCATTTTGGTTACCTGACACTGCACCATCTTTTCAACCTAAGGCAAAGCAAGATGAAAGATCAGAACAGGTGAAGTCAGGAGAGACACGTTTCCTTCTAATAAATGCTAGCGTAAGTGAAACAAAGTTCTGCCCAGCTATACATATTGCTATAAAAAGATGGAAGTGACCAAGCAGAACACTACAATGTATTCAGGAGCTACCAGAACAATGAGGAAAGATATTTTACCTTGCCCAAGACTTTACATACTCTAGAATGCTTTTCCAGAGCTTGGGCTGGGGTAGGGAGGGAAGGCAAACAGAAAACCTCCAACAAAAAAAAAAAAAAAAACACCACATCTATTTTCCTCTCTAATACCTCTCATCTTCCCCAATCAGCAGGCCTCCAATTTATAGTTAAACCTTTTAAGTAAGCAAATTTCTATACTTCATGGGATAAAAACAGACAGTTAATCCATCCTAATCCAACCTACTGCTGCCAACGGCTTAGTAGCCATGATCATCATTGTAAAAAATCCTAGTTTATAATAGCCCCTTTTTCTATGACCAAGACTTAAACCTACATCTTCCACAGCCCAGCTGACTGCCATCAACATTCAGATACAGGCACTATAATCTCACCTGTGCAACTAACCAGAAATTTCAACCTGACCCAAGAGACTTTGAAAACCACAGCACATTTTCAGAACCTATCAGCCTAAGAAGGAAACTCAGATGTGTTAGAAGCACATTCAGCTGGAAAATTACCTGTGCTAGAAGCAGTCAGAATGTGAATAAAGGGACTGTGGTTACAGAAAGAAGAAAAAGTCACAGCTTTAGTTAAACAACAATGCTTCCTCTCTGCCTCAGTTGTTACTTATGGTCATAATCAATTATTAGCTCTGCTTCACCATTCCTTAAAGCACTATACTCTTCTTACAAAAATAGCTAATGATCTAGTAAAGCCATATTCACCCACTGAAGAACAAGAATAAGGAATAAACTGGTAATAATCATCAAAACAGGAAAACTGAGCTATTTGCTTACTTAGTTGTTTAATAGAATCCCACCCAACTTAGTTTCACCTGCAGATTTACTGAGAGTGTACTCAATGCCCTCATTCAGCTCATCAATAAAAATATTAACAACATTGGCCCCAATACTGAGCCCTGACGGACACCTAGAAACTAGAAATTCCGTATGCATTGCAGGAACTGCCTTGAACAAATTTTTTAAAGATATTTATAGAATATTTAGAAGTAGTCTAAAATAGGTTGAATATTTTCAGAAGCTTAGGAGGAAAGATTTCTGTATAACATTATTTCCTTCCAAGGATAAAGTTCCACAGTAACCCTGGGGGATGAATGAATGAAGGGAGCAGCAGACTGAAAGGAACAATGAAACAGGGTTAAACAGAAGTATAGGAATTTCTGTGGCACTCAAGACTTCCAAAAAAGTCAACTTAACGTACTGTCGTTAAGTCTAAAATTACTTGGAAGTTGAGACTGGTTTAATAAAGTCAACATGAACATCTCACCATCAGCTGCTTTAATATTAGTCATTATACATTTCTCCTGGACAAATTAGTCCACAGAAAGAGATTCACTCAAGTAGGTCTATCTGCTGAAAGCTCCGCTCTATATGTAAGATATAGAAAGTCTATGATCTTATCCATTAAAGTAACTAATTTCTTTTTTCTGAAGAGTCTGCAAGTAGACACAAGTTGAGGGGTATGAAAATTACCAGTACCATACACATCCTCTCCTCCTCGCATCATCTGCCTGAAGTATGGGGTCAAATTATCCCACTCACAGATCAGACCTAGAATTAAGATGGAGAACTAGCTGGTTCAAAAATCAATCCAGGCAATCCTGAAGTAAACAGCAAAAGCACTAAGATCTTCTGCCATTTACCAAAGCAGAACAGTCCCCTTTATAGCCACACTGGATTTCAACATGTACATGAACGTTAATCACATATTCAGAAATTATTTTTATTTCTCATATGTAGTTTAAAAAGTACAATTATTTTCATACATTTCTTTTGATATCATTACCATCCGCATCTTTTTCTCTATAATGATTTGCATGAAACTGACATGACTGACAGACACAAGAAAATGTATGTCAGGTAACACTGAAAGCACATTTCATAACTGAAACATTCTTAGCTGCATCATCAGAATAACCTTATTTGATGGGAAAAACAAAGAGCCCGGTGACCACATGTTGCCTGTTTGGGAGGCAACTCCCATTAGTGCTTTGTACCTGGTCAAAATTATCTGCCTCATTGACAAATCGAACACTTGCAGATCTAGACCTTCGATGTTTATTGCCCTGTGAGTCTCCATAATCCCTGAGAGGAGAAGTAGGCAGGAAGTGGCGGTTCCCTTTATGAGATAGGAGATAAAAAAAAAGAAGTAGGAAAACAAAACTTTGTATGGGAAGTTTTTCATTTTGCTTTATCAAAAAGTGCGTTTCACCTTGCCAATATACTTATAAGCCACATCACAGACAAAACTCCTACTAAATTTACATAAAATGCACAGGCATACTTATATATCCTTTACCTCTTCTCAGGATTCTTCTTCAAGTGTTTCTGAAATACATGTATGTGATGGTAAGAAGGAGGTTTTCTTTGTTCCTCCGAGGAATAAATAGGGTTTTTCCTCTAATTTTATTTGCCCAAGCAATAGCTTTTGCTCTACTTTTTTCTATCTATTATAGCTTCAAACTACAGTACTACACAGCTTTTACAGAAGCTTTCTACTAAAAGACATTAAATTTACTAACATTATTTTTAGTAAATTTACTAAATTTACTACAATTCTGGGAGGAATGCAGCCCCCAAATACACTTTGTTCTAAAATATAATGAATTTTCAGAGAGATGTACAAGAAAAAAGCTACTTTTCTGTAGGTTATACATTTGTACAGTTCTTCCTTTTTCGCTGAGCCTTACATAATTTCATCCACACATCCATAATCTTATGCATTTAAAATTTAACTTCCCTTTTGCTGTGAAGTAAGCTTCAGAATCTGCAATATCTTTTGGATTTAGCTTTAACTTATATGTGTCTACAACTCTCATTACCATGCATATGATACATCATGCAGGGGACAAGCAATTTTCTCTACTGAAAGAATCATTAGATCTCTTGGGATACCAGCAGAAAAGACTATGTAATAGAAAGCTGCAAGAATTTACCCAACCAGCAGCTGCATAAGGTCCTGCAAATTTCTAAACCCAATTTCTTTGAAGTAATCAATGACAACTTTTCACACCACTATCTTTATATTTTTAACTTCTTCTTTCCATACAACAACTATATGACATAATTTAAGCACACTCAAGCACCTTAAGTATTTTACCTGACACTCCTCCTCCATCTAGATCACTAGGATATAAGCTTGAGAGAGAAGCACTTCTCATTTCAGAGTTCCGGGTTAATCGTTGGCTCCTTAATTGACCTATAGATTGTTCCAGTGTTTCTTTTAACTGCAGAGAAATTGCAATTTACTGAAATATGAGCACAGACTGATGAAAAAAATGCATGTAAAATATTATTTTTCAAAAAAGTAATTAAGAGAATCAAAACTATTTTTAAGCCAGGAATTAATAACAGCTTTTCTTCATTATCTTGTATGTCATATTCCTATAACTATAGCAAAACACTTTTACAACACTGGCGGCTTCAGATATCAAGTTTCTTACAACAGTGGTGCAACACACCAGGAAAACTCAAAAGAAAAAACAAGTCTTCTACAACCAAACTAAGACCTATTTGCCAGCTCTGCAAAATCCAGAAAATAACTTCAAAGAAATTCTTTTCATTGGCATTTTTCTATCAGCTCCATCTGTAATCAATGTGACATATAGCTGTCAAATTTCACTAAGAAGCTTTATATCAAGCCCCACTTTTACGAGCTATACTTCAAGAAAAGGGCAGCCATCTCAAACTTTAAAGTTCAGAACTAACTATATTCCTAAACAAGTTCCCCATTTTTTCTTACTTTCTAAAATTACATTTGCTAATTTTGGTTCTCAGCCACTTGCTTTTGACACGTTTATTTGACAATCCACAAAACATCTATTTCTAAAGGGTTGCCTTTCCTTTCCCTAACAGAAGCTTGTACACAAGGGTTAAATTCCTGCTTTATTCTCGCAGAAATATACACAATGTCGGATCTCCCTCTAGGTGGTACAAAAAGGTGCCTAACATTTTGGTCCTTCCTTAATATCATAGAATCATAGAATAGTTAGGGCTGGAAAGGACCTTAATATCATCCAGTTCCAATACCCCTGCACACCTCACACTAAACCATGTTACCCAAGGCTCTGTCCAACCTGGCCTTGAACACTGACAGGGATGGAGCATTCACAACCTCCCTGGGCAACTCATTCCAGTGCCTCACCATACTCACAGTACAGAATTTCTTCCTTATATCCAATCTAAACTTCCCCTGTTTAAGTTTTAACCCATTACCCCTTGTCCAATCACTACAGTCCCTAATGAAGAGTCCCTCTCCAGCATCCTCACAGGCCCCCTTCAGATACTGGAAGGCTGCTATGAGGTCTCCACGCAGCCTTCTCTTCTCCAGGCTGAACAGCCCCAACTTTCTCAGCCTGTCTTCATATGGGAGGTGCTCCAGTCCCCTCATCATCCTCGTGGCCCTTCTCTGGACTTGTTCCAACAGTTCCATGTCCTTTTATGTTGAGGACACCAGAACTGTACCCAATACTCCAAGTGAGGTGTCATGAGAGCAGAGTAGAGAGGCAGGATCACCTCCTTCGACCTGCTGGTCACTCTCCTTTTGATGCAGCCCAGGATACGGTTGGCTTTCTGGGCTGCGAGCAGACGCTGCTGGCTCATGCTCATTTTCTCATCAACCAACACCCCCAAGCCCTTTTCCCCAGTGCTGCTCTGAATCTCTTCTCTGCCCAACCTGTAGCTGTGCCTGGGATTGCTCTGACCCAGGTGTAGGACCTTGCACTTGGCATGGTTAATATTTATATATATATATATATATATATATATATAAAATTAAAAGAGACAAATATCAGTGCCATCAGAAAAAAAAATAGATAACCACAAAGGAAACATATCTCTCAAGGGCTAATTACTTTCAAAACTCTCCAAAACAGTGAAGTCAGCAGGAAAATAACATTGCTCTAGAACAGAGCACATATGGAAAGTACAATGTTCCCACCACTAGAGTACTAGCAATAGCAAAAATGAAATAAATTTCTGAACAGCAAGTCTTCCTGACCCTGTAAATTATGTAGCAAGTTTTGCATTGATTCACATCAGACACTGAGCACCTCAAAGTGGGATAGTGAGACTAATTTATAAATTAGAATGTAAAATAGCTCCACAGCAGCCCAACAGCCACCAATTCATAAATGTAAATATGCTATACAATGGTCTGAAGAAGTCTTTTTAAAGGAAAAGATTACAAAGAATTCAAGGATTAGACATTACAATCAGCACAACTAACAGAACCTAAACATACTCCCCATTTGGAGCAGATTATTCTTAGATAAACAATCTTGTTTAATATGGTAGAAGTGCTGGACCAACTATTACTGTGAAAAAAAAAAAAAAACAACACATCACCATCCAAATGAGAAATTTATTCAAGTTTTTCTTAAATAATTATTATATAGAGAAAATAGATTCACTGCTTACTCACCCCAGCTGCTTCTTCCCACATATCAAGTACATAAGACAACTGAGTGGAAACTTTGCTTCAAAAAGGGAACAGGAACTCAGAGAAATATGCTATCTTTACTAATTTTACTAAGAAGACTGAATTTACTTTATTATTTAAAGCTCAAGCAGGAGACGGTTAGTGTCTCTAGATTTCTCCTTGAGCCATAATCAAAAGCCACCTTGCACTGACTAAGAAGAATGGACATTAAGTCAAAACCAAATGCAAGCGATGTCTTGCTCACCTTGATGTTTCCCAATAGAACATCTTTTTAGAGTAACAATCTTGAACTACCAGTTCCAGTACCAGTATTTGTTAAAAACTGAGAAGCTTAAATGGCTCTACCACTCACCAGAAATTCCACAAATTCAGTACCTAAGCAGAGCATATAAAGACATACATAGCATTCAAACAGAAGGAAAAAAAATACTTTTAAGGCATATAATATCCCAGATTACTTCGATGCGAACTTGTGCATACCGATTTTGAAAGCAAGCTGTCTGAAGAAACAAGTCTTTTCCACATATTTGCTTTTATTCCTCTTTCTCTCTACCCTCACATGCAAAATATTCCTACATTTCACATGTATCTGTTCCAAGTTCCACCTGCTCACCTGCTACAGTTTGTTTACAACTAAGTTACAAACCTCTCTTGCCCTACCAACACTAATTTGTTTTACTTTCTCTGTCTAGACATTTGTATTTAAGCTTGTAGAAGACTGCTATTTATGAGAATTTCACCCCTTCTGCAATTTAGATAAAGCTGGTCAAGAGATTCAGAAGCTTTTGTAGAATGCCAGGAAAAAATACTTCACCAGTATGATCACAATGTAATTTCCTGCTGAAATATAGCTTTTATATTATCAATTATTCATGCAAAAGAAACACATTCCCTAATACTCTGTTTCAGCTATACACCTTGTACATGGTAGCATATCATAATAATCTATTTGGTGCTTAGAAACCAGAAAAGTAACGAAACTACAAAATCTGCCAGGTTCATTATGTCACATATTAATATAGTTTGATTTAGATCACTCAAATAAATATGCAAACTTTCTATCTACCTAATTCTTGATATAGTCTGTCCATTATTAACAAGTTTCCAGCTATGAACGCTATTAGCAGAAAAGATTTAAGAAGTCAAGATAAACTGAAGATTACTCACAGTTGCTATCACTTCAGTTTGTTCCTTGTTGTATTCTCTGTATTGTCCCAGCAAATGGTCAACATGTCTTAGATTTCTGTTGGTATCCTTTAAAAAAGTTTGAGGAAGAAAAGTCAAACCAGAAACTTCCTCTATTCAAACACTGCTGTTGCCCCTATTATTATTGTTTTATCAGTGTAAAATGCTAATACAAGTGCTTTTTAAAGGGTCTAAGCATTCAAAATCCTGTTCAAGTAACCAGAATATGAAGATGTTGTCTCTACATTGGAGAGACAATTTGATAGATGGAGCACTCGGTAGATAAAGAACAGGCTGGACGGCTGCACACACAGAGTTGTGATCAATGACTCAATGTCCTGCTGAAGACCAGTAACGAGTGGTGTCCCTCAGGGATCGGTGTTGGGACCGGTCATGTTCAACATCTTTGTTGCTAACATGGACAGTGGGATTGAGTGTGCCCTCAGCTGAACGGTGTTTGCCAAAGACACCAAGCTGCGTGGTTCGGTTGATATGCGGGAGGGAAGGAATGACATCCAGAGTGACCTCGACATGCTTATGAGGCAGCCTGATGCTAACCTTATGAAGTTTTACCATGTCAAGTGCAAGGTCCTACACCTGGGTCAGAGCTATCCCAGGCACAGCTACAGGCTGGGCAAAGAAGAGATTCAGAGCAGCCCTGCGGAGAAGGATCTGGGGGTGTTGGTCAACGAGAAACTTAACATGAGCCAGCAGTGTGCGCTTCCAGCCCAGAAAGCCAACCATAGCCTGGGCTGCATCAAAAGGAGAGTGACCAGCAGGTTGAAGGAGGTGATCCTCCCCTCTACTCTGCTCTCATGACACTTCACTTGGCGTATTGGGTACAGTTCTGGTGTCCTCAACATAAAAAAGACATGGAACTGTTGGAACAAGTCCAGAGAAGGGCCACGAGGATGATCAGGGGACTGGAGCACCTCCCATATGAAGACAGGCTGAGAAAGTTGGGGCTGTTCAGCCTGGAGAAGACAAGGCTGCATGGAGACCTCATAGCAGCCTTCCAGTATCTGAAGGGGGCTTATAAGGATGCTGGGGAGGAACTCTTCATTAGGGACTGTAGTGATAGGACAAGGGGTAGGGGTTAAAACTTAAACAGGGGAAATTTAGATTGGATATAAGGAAGAAATTCTTTACTGTGAGGGTCGTGAGGCACTGGAATGGGCTGCCCAAGGCAGTTGTGAATGCTCTATCCCTGTCCCTCCAACCAAGGCCAGGTTGGACAGAGCCTTGGGTGAGATGGTTTAGTGTGAGGTGTCCCTGCCCACGGCAGGGGGGCTGGAGCTAGATGATCTTGGGGTCCTTTTCAACTCTTAACTACTCTATGATTCTATGATAGAGCATGGCAAAGGGAATGAGAAAAAATAAATAAATAAAAAACACAAACTCAGAAAAAGGTCACTATCATTTACAGTACAACAGTAAGGCCACAGCTTCAAACTGAAGTTTTATAAGTTTCACTCACTCTAGGTATTCAGAACTGTCAGCTGGAGAGGAATGGCAATGACTTCTGAAGCAGTAAATGGCATCAAGATAACTAAATGTCTCCTTCCACTTGCAGTACAGATTCACATATTTCCTCCAGTGTCTCCACTGAAGCAGCAGGAATTAGATGAATGCTTTTTCCTACTTAGGTATGGATCTCTTGCAAGTTTATAAATACTGCTTCTTATTGTGATGTTCCACACATAGAAAATATTTTAATTGTAAGCTCTATCATGAGGGAATTAACTGCCTACATATGTACTTTTTCATGAACTGGGCAATTTTAAACAGTGCAAGACAACAAAGATGGGGCTGGAATTTTCTGCTACAAAACATAATGCCTTTTTTGAGAATCTGACAAATTTTATTTGGCATTATTCACTTGGCAAATTTTATAAACAGTATTCCCGAACAGGTGACTACTTCTAACAATGCTATTACTGTCTTAAATAACAGCTTTATATAAGTGTAACAAACCACATATTTCAGCTCAAAGGCAATATAAAAAAATTCCCTAAAACCTTTCTGGTTTGCACAGAAAGCAATGTTTCCCATCACTACAGTATTTTTCACAACTTCAGAAATGAAAATTTGACCCTTATGTTACAGAAATGCAAACTCTATAAAATACTTTAAAACCATATTTTGTAAACAACCTGTAATGTGCTTGCTAAAGTATGGATCTTCTCTGTAACTTCTTCCGCCCCATAGTTCCGAGCTCTGCTGTGGGATGCTCTCAAAGGTGGCCGCCTTCCTATTCGAGCCCTAAAAAAGTTGTCTGAATCACTAGATGAATCTGCCATTAGTATCTTGAAACCTAGATAGGAAGACCAGAAAAAGTTATGAATGCTGAAACCAGATTTTAACTGAACGGTCTCTGACTTACACGATATTCCCAAAGCAACTTCATACAGTCGGACCACATTTACACTAGCCTTTCTGGTTCAAGTCAGCAGCATGTACTTTTGAAGCAGATCTTCCAACTGTTCCTCAGTTATTATGTTTGTTCACACCATCAAGCAGTGCCAAGATGCAAGAGGCAGAGCCAATTAGGACAGAAATAAATCAAAAGATGCAGTCTCACTATTTCTAAGTTCAGTACCCAGATAAGACCATAGCCCAAAGCAAATTCTCCCCCCAAACTTACACTGGGGACATCAGAGTTTTATTAATTGTTCTGGTCTGCAGAAGCACTCCCCTTTACCTCACACTACTTGCTACAGAATGGCCAGGGCCAACTAAGACAAATAGCCCCAAGTAACTAAATATCTGAAGCAAATCTAAGAACTTAATGAATCTTAATGACTCAAGAATTAGAGATATTATGGAACTTAATGAATCTTAATGACTCAAGAATTAGAGATATTATGGAAAAAGGCAAATGCTGCTCCTTAAAAAGCAGGGAAAGAAAACTGCGAAGTTATAGACTAATCAACACAAATATGCAGGAAAAATAAAACAGACTAAGAAAAAAAAGGCAATGTTTCCGCTGATATCAAATCAATGGATATGGCAATAAGGAACCAAATTTGTTAAACAGTTAGACAAGTATGACAACTTGTAATATCAGAAAAAGGGATAGATACTGATAGAAATTATGGAAAAGCAGGAGCTGAGTTATTTTCTGAAAACATCATTCTGAGAAGTATATTAACCATGACAGCCCAAACTACTGAAAAGCTATGACACTGGAGAAAACAAAAGGGAAATGAAGATTCACAAAAGAAAATATTAATGGTTTTGTTTTCAGCTGTCCAAAAATAGGCTCAGTAAGATACTTAGTAGCCAAAGCACTGAAGAAAGGCTCATAAACAAGATAAAAAATGAAAGGAAACACTAGACACAGAAAGACATTTTGTCTGAAGAAAACTTCCTATTTACAGTTGAGTAGCATTCCTCTTTGTTCTTACGAGCAACATAAGAGAAACCACAAGCACTTTTAAGTTGAAGTCTTGTTTTGTAGACAGCAACATCCTCATTTTTAAAGGAATTATAAAAATTTCATTTTACATTTTTAAAAAATCATAATATATGTAGAAATTTGTACAAATACTCTATATGCACATATGTCTATTAATTTAAATTAAAATGTGCCTATTATCACTTTTTACAAAAATCTAGATTGATTTCAGCACTTGATCATACAATCTACTTGACAGTGAGAGTCATTTGTCTTTTACTAGTTCAGTGTACCCAAACAGATTATAACTTATAATTTCTTGCACTCAGAAAAAACACTAGTACCCAGTATTTTCCTTCACTGTAGGAAAGGGAACATTTCAGTTTCACTCTGGACTGTCTTGTTAAGATATACTCAGGGTAAAGCAAACAAGTACAAGTGACAGTCTCAGCTTCAAGTTCTCCAGCTTGAGTAAACAAAAGATAAACTGAGTATAGACAACCTGATTACTTCAAGTGTTTTTATTTGTTTAGCTCCACGCAGACAAATCTATCACCAGGTAACTAACTCAGAGTTAAAGGCATATTTGAAGTCTTACTGATAAGACTAAGCATGACAAAAACATTCAATAGCCATTCTAGAACTGGAAGGTCCTTGCCTTAAGAGCTTCCAATTGAGCTAGGAGAAGTTTTCAAAAACCAGGAAGGTGGTCCGACAGGGTGACAGTTCACCATCGTGCTAGCAGGCACCGGTCCTACACTTTATTGTCAATTTGTGACACCGCGTTCCCAGCCCTCTTCGGCATCACGACACAGAAAACAGTTCCTTCATACTATAGACCAACCAACCAACCAACTCCCTCTGCAAGTCCTCCCTACGCCGTGCACGTATCGAACTTCACTAACACCTGACCTCATCTCTGAGGGCCTCCGGAATCTCTTGCCCCAGACAGGTCAGTGAAAGCCCCAGGGGCAGCTGGACAAGCCCAGGACAACGCTGGACACGCTGACGGCCGCGTCTCCGTCAGGCCCACGGGCTGCAACCCCGCGGCTGGCAGGCCCTGAGCCTCCCGCCGCGGCTCCCGGCTGCCGCGGCTCCCAGGGCCGCTCACCTCCGCACCCTACCAGCCCCCAGCGGCAGCGCAGCACGTTTCCGCAGCCGCTCGAGCCGCAGCCCCCGACTCAACCCTCCCCACACCCCCAGCCCTCACCACACAGCAGCTACAGGAGATAGCGACAGCTCCCCGAGGCGAAGCTGACCATTTCCCTGAGCACGACCAAGGGCTCCACATACCGCCTCACTTCGCCGCCATGGCAACTTGAACTAGCCGCCCTGCCACCAACTGCCAGCACCTCTTTCCGGGCGCCAGGCCCCCCTCCCCGCAAGGCTCTGTGGGACAGGTAGTCCACTAGCGACGGCCCTGACATGGGAAAGAAGGCGCGGAGGACTTAAAATCCCAAAAGACTTTGCGGTAGGGACGCTGGCCGAGCCAGTGGCGCTCTGCCGCAGGAGCCGTAACGGAAGCCAGGCCCCGCCCTGCGGGGTGGTTTTCGGTCTGTCGAAGGCCGTGTTCGGGAGGTGGGAGGTGGCTCCCGGGAGCTGGTGTTTGTAAACGTTTTTAAAAGGTAAACGTTTACAAAATACGTAGGCGTTTTACACAAACTGCAGCTAAGCAGGCGTGAAAAGCAGAAACAAAAGCTATTGCTCTGGCAAAGCAGGTGTGTACATGAGGAGAGTAGGCACCTGGCTGATCCTGCTGAGAAAAGGTGTGAAGTTACTTAGAATCGTAGAATCAGCTAGGTTGGAAAAGACCTTTAAGATCATCAAGTCATTACCCCAGGACTGCCAAGTCTACCACTAAACCATGTCACTGCCTCTACACCGTTTCTGAACACTTCCAGGAGTGGTTATTCCACCACATCTATGTGCAGCCTTTTACAATGTCTGATCACCCTCTCTGTAGTTTTCCACTGGAGCAGGAAAACCTGAGGGAAATCTGAAGAAAGGAAGAACTCGCTTGGTGGAAGAGGATCTGTTTAGAGTACTTAAATAAGCTTAACATATATAAGTCCATGGGCCCTGGTGGGATGCACCCATGCATGTTGAGGGAGCTACTAATATGCTGTGGGAAACTAAGATGATTAAAGGACTGACGCATCTCTCCCATGTGGAAAAGTAAATGCAGCTGGGGCCCTCTAGCCTGGAGAAGAGAAGGCTTGGGGGATCTCATCAATGTGTACGAATACGTGAAGGTACAAAAAAGGTAGTGTCCAGTGACTGGACAAGAGGCAATGGGCATAAATTGAACAGGAATTTCTGTCTGACCATAAGGACACACTTTTTAATTGTGAGGGGGACCAAACGGTGGCACAGGTTGCACAAAGAGATTGTGGAATCTCCATCCTTGGGAACAGAGAAAAGCCATATGGACAGTCCTAGGCAACAGAATTTAGGTGACCCTGCTTGAGCAGTGGCCAGTTGACCTCCAGGGGTCAATCTCAAGCATTCTGTGATTCTGTAATCCTTTCTTGTCACAAACACACTGCCTGGAAGAAGCTTTCATAGCTCTTACCTTAACTATTTGCAAGTTCAAAGGATAGTTTCATGTTAGCATTCTCTCTGAGCTCTCTTAGAAATGACAACCTCAGACTTTACAAGGCTTCACGCAGCAGCACGTCGTATTTAGTTTTCAGCCGAGTATTTCAATTTTAACAGCTTTTTTGTGGCCTTTTCATGAAATAAAGCAAAAGGAGAAGCACAAGAGTTCCTTAAGGTTCCATACCCATAAAACTCCATAACTACCTGCTCTCGAAGATAAATTGGTTACATAGACATGAATCTTCAAGACTTTAGAATAACATTCTTTCATGTCGCTATTCAAACAACTGGCCTGATAAGTGGTGCTGTGTCAAAGTAGTATGTCTAATGTACAGAATTATTTCAGATCCTGAAACAGAAACAGGTAGGAACTGTCATATCTTACAAGTGTCTGGAATGGCTAAACTTGTTAATTAATCAGGAAAAAAATAACCAAACTGTGTCTTTATTCTACTCTTTATTGAATTATTTTCCCAGTTTGAACACTTCCTCATACAGATATTACAAGATTTAACTGTTGATATCTAGTAGTCCCTTGAGGAGTTTATGTGGAACAGTAATTAGGAACTAATTCCTTCTTTGTTAGAACCTGTTGCGGTTTATCTGATTTGTGTATAAACCATATAAGCAGTGCAGATACCTGAGATACCATAGTAAATCTGGCAGATAAGAATAATGTTATTTTTTTTAAATCACTTCCAAAACAGTGTAATTCTGAGCCTTGCAGTGCTTGAGATAGATCGTAGATGAGCAACTGTGGCAGTTACTAGAGGAAGTGTAACAGTGGAAAAAGTATACTTCTCAATTTTTGCCATGTTTAAATTAATGGGAACATGCAGGGTCTTTGAAGAAGCACCAGGGGAAAATAAATCTGCAACATACTGCAGTTTTACTACTGATTTTTCTTTCCTATTTGCTTATTAAGATCCAAGCATAAGCCACATTCATTGATTAAAACTTTCATTTCTCTGTCCTCAGGGCATACAGGATGTTGAATGTCTGTTCTTAAGATTATATTTATAAATGTGTATATACACATTAGTGATACTTCTAATACATTAATATTTTTTAGTATATAAAAAAGGAACATTTATTAACATTCCACATGGGGTGGAAAGTTGCCAGTCGCACTAAGCTGCTAGATACTATCACACTTCAGAATTTATGTGGTCAGAACTACTGATTATTGTTCATTTTTACAGCCTGAAATGTGGTGGAACACCTTATCCTTGGTGCCATCTTAAGGCATATCAAGGATAAGAGGGTTATGAGGGGCAGTCAACATGGCTTCACCAGGGGGAAATCATGTTTGACCAATCTCTTAGCCTTTTATGAGGAAATAACACTGTGGATGGATGATGGCAGAGCGGTGGATGTGGTCTACCTTGACTTCAGCAAAGCATTTGACACAGTCTCCCACAGCATCCTCACAGCTAAATTGAGGAAGTGTGGTCTGGATGATCAGGTAGTGAGGTGGACTGCAAACTGGCTGAAGGAGAGAAGCCAGAGAGTTGTGGTCTATGGGGCGGAGTCTAGTTGGAGGCCTGTAACTAGTGGAGTGCCTCAAGGGTCAGTACTGGGACCAGTATTATTTAATATATTCATCAATGATTTAGATGAGGGAATTGAGTGTACTATCAGCAAGTTTGCTGATGACACTAAGCTGGGAGGAGTGGCTGACACGCCAGAAGGCTGTGCTGTCATCCAGCGAGACCTGGACAGGCTGGAGAGTTGGGCAGGGAATAACTTGTTGAACTATAACAAGGGAAAGTGTAGAGTCCTGCATCTGGGCAGGAACAACCCCAGGTTCCAGTATAGGTTGGGGAACGACCTGTTAGAGAGCAGTGTAGGGGAGAGGGACCTGGGGGTCCTAGTGGATGACAGAATGACCATGAGCCAGCACTGTGCCCTTGTGGCTAAGAAGGCCAATGGCATCCTGGGGTGTATTAGAAGGGGGGTGGTTAGTAGGTCGAGAGAGGTCCTCCTTCCCCTCTACTCTGCCCTGGTGAGACCCCATCTGGAATATTGTGTCCAGTTCTGGGCCCCTCAGTTCAAGATGGACAGGGAGCTGCTGGAGAGAGTCCAGCGCAGGGCAACAAAGATGATTAAGGGAGTGGAGCATCTCCCTTATGAGGAAAGACTGAGGGAGCTGGGTCTCTGTAGTTTGGAGAAGAGGAGACTGAGGGGTGACCTTATAAGTGTCTATAAATATATAAAGGGGGAGTGTCACGAGGATGGAGCCAGGCTCTACTCAGTGGCAAACAATGATAGGACAAGGGGTAATGGGTACAAACTGGAACACAAGAGGTTCCACTTAAACTTGAGAAGAAACTTCTTCTCAGTGAGGGTGACGGAACACTGGAACAGGCTGCCCAGGGAGGTTGTGGAGTCTCCTTCCCTGGAGACATTCAAAACCCGCCTGGACACATTCGTGTGTAACATTATCTAGGTGTTCCTGCTCCGGCAGGGGGATTGGACTAGATGATCTTTCGAGGTCCCTTCCAATCTCTAGCATACTGTGATACTGTGTGAAATGCTTCCAGTCTTGACTAAGGTAAGCAACTGTGTTCCATCATTCCTTCAATACGGGTCATGTTTCTAAACCTCCTGTTTTCCTTACTATCCTGTGAATAATCCTGTTTGTCTGTTTCTTTCTTGACAGATAAAGTATTCCAGACAACTCTATAAATGCAAAGTAAAGTTAAATAATTGCACAGTATTCCAATTTTTCTGCTGTGCAGGGTGTGTCTTAATGCATGTAGCTACTTGTGTTTTTCTCTTCTGAATTTAAATTCTAGAATTCACAGACCTCCCTAGCCTGCGGTTATCTGTAGCTTTACAAACATACTTTTCATTCCACCATCTGCCAGCCTGTTCAGGAAAACGTTGAACAGAAGGACCAGAAGCTGTCTAGGAGAAGCCAGAGCATGGCACTGCAAGGCTGGCAGCTCCCTCAGGGCCAGGCACCAGGGGCCACATGGGATCCCCCTGGAGCCACACCAGGACCTGGCAGCCCATTCCTTCCTGCCACCCCAGCCAGGAGCTGGGCAGCCCAGGGGTTCAGGGTCAACACCAGCCCTAGGCGCTGGGCACCTCCCTGGGGACTGGGATGAGCTGAGGCTGTTCCAAGATGAGTGTGAGATCTGGATTAATGAGTCCACATGGCCAGGCAGGGCAGGACTGTGGGGAGCTGGAGACGGGCCTCAATACGGCAGTGCTGGGCCAAGGACTGATGGCCCTGGGGGGGGCCGACATGGAGTCCTGGGCTTTGGGCAGGCTGGGCAGAGGTTCTAGTGGAGGTCAGGAAGGGGCAGTCAGCCCTTTCAGTGCCCTCAGCCCTGACAGGCTGCTCTAGGAGGAGCAGCAAGCTGGGAGCCAAGTGTGGCCATAGCACAGACAGTGACTTTGCCAACAGGATATAGTTAGGCAGCACCTCATCAGGACTGGGTTGGTGATACTGACAGTCCCAGCAAGGCAAGGAATCAAATCAGGTCCATACAGAAGGAGCAAGAGACACTTGGAGACAAGACTACAATGTAGGTCCAAGTTCTATCACGGAGACAAGACTGGAGAGAAGACCAGAGGCAATGATACCTTCCATGTAGGTCCAGAGTGTACTCAGAAAAACCCATGATGGCCAGGTTGGCCAGGGCAAAGCCCTGACAGGGTGTAATAGCTGAACTGTGATTGCAGACTTCTAGCCAGCAGGTTCCTTAAACATGCTAGAAACTACAATGTAAACAATGTCATCTTGCTAAGAGCATAATTTGTCAGAGCAAACGCAGTGCCTGTGGAAACACCTTGTGGTAGCAATAGTCCTCTTC